CCCTGGGTCATGATTTGAACAAACTTTAATCTATACTACCTGAGGATGCTTCAAAATAAATATGACCGATCATGGCTTTGCTGTTCTTGAGAAGAAGATTTATAAAGATTTTTACTATGTATTCCTTTGATAAACTTAAATCACGTATTGTGGCCCTACCTACCCTCCGGGGGTCATGTTTCGAACAAACCTGAACCTACACTACTTGAGGATGTTTCCACATAATTTCATCTTTTCTGGTCCAGTGGTTCTTGAATAGAAGATTTTTGAAAGATTTCAGTAATTTTTCACTAGTTCATAATTATTCCCTTGGAAGAAGGTGTGGCCCTTTATTTGAAAAAAATTTAATCCCCTTTACCCAAGGATACTTTGTGGCAAGTTTGTTTGAAACTGGCAAAGTGGTTCTTGAGAAGAAATCAAAAATGTGAAAAGTTTACAGACAGATGCCAGGCAAAATGTGACCTGAAAAGCTCAAATAAGCCTTCCGCTCATGTGAGCTAAAACACCTCAAAAGACAATTTTCTAAATTAATTAATTTCTGGAAAATGATTTTTCAACTTAAGGATTAACATTAATAGTCAAAATCAAAAACCAATATAAAGAATTCCTATTCTACTTGCACAAAAAGTCTTAATAAGATCAGAATAAACTTATAGGAGTAGACTTTTGAAAGAATTTCACAAAATTTTCTATTTTTAGTAACCATGGCAACAATGTCCATTGAAATCAAAAAACTGTTAAAAAGAATAATGTATCTTTGTACCTTCTACTTGTATACATAGCCATATTGAACTGGACCAAATCTGTAGGAAGAGTAGCATTTTGAAAGAAATTGCTATTTTCAGTAACCTTTGCAACACCCTTTTCATCTAAATCAAAAACCTATAAAAAGAATTTGTATCTTAGTGTACTCTACTTGTGTAGAAAGTTTAATTGAAATCAGACCAAAACTGTAGGAGGAGAAGCAGTTTGAAAACCTTTCACAAAATTTTCAATTTTTAGTAATTATGGCAAGACCATTCATCAGAATAAAAAACAAGAGGCCCAAGGGCCTTAACGGTCACCTGAGTACAATACAACAATTTAGAGGATCCATAGAGTATTAATTAAAATGAAATGAAAGGTGAAGCTTTGTTGCCCAAAAGCAAGAAAAATAGGGTGATCAGGATCAACAAAATAATTAGTCTACTATTCATTAACAGTTCATTAATTAGGTTCTAATCTGTTCCCCATTTATCACTATCACCATACAGTATATTAACAAACTGTCAGTGCTTTTGTACTATTTTAATTCCTTGTTGTAATCTCTTACATTGGCCTCTCTTGGTCTTTGATGAACATTTAATAAGACAAGTTATTTTTGTCTCATTTTTATTTATCTATCACTTACAAGTCCACATGATCATTAAAACTATGAAAATACTTTTTGTATTATACAATAAAAATTCTTGCATAATCCTCTTATTCTATTAATTTTTCAAGTACATTATTTACAATGATTAATTATCAAAAGTAAACGGCAAAGGGGAATAACTCCTCTCAGTAGAATGCAAATTAATTGAGCCCTGGCTAGGACCAGAACACTTGACCAAATGGTCCAGATGTTCAAAAATCTGGTAAAAATACCCTTCCTTATTACAACTTTTACACTTTTTGCCTCTGATATGCCGAAGTGCAGAGAAGATTTTTAAAGAAATAATGCATTTCACTACAGATTCACTATATTATCAATAGAGCCCCCCCCCCCCCCCCCCCTTCACCACCGAGAAACACCAGAGTCTCTCACCCTGGGACCAGAAGTTTCAAATTTGCTCATCATAAGTAATCACTTTGTTTAACTGCTTAACATTAAGGAGCAGACAGGATTATTTAATAGAATTTATGCATTTTCACTACATTATCAACAGCCCCACCCTTATACCAGCACATCTGACCCAGGGGTAATGCAATTCACTACTCTGGAAGAAGCACTCTTGCTCATCATAACTACTGTATATACATGTACTTAGTTCTTTGCTTTTTAACCAGAAGCAGAAAAGAATATTTTCAAAGAAATTTTGATTTTTCACTATATAATCAATAGAGCCCCCCCCCCCCCCCCCCCCCACCTTTTGACCAGGACCCTTGACCCTAGGGCCATGAAATTCACAATTTTAGAAGAGGCATCCTTGCATATCATAACAATGTACTTAGTTTGTTTAAATAGTACCCAGGGGCAGAGAAGAAGATTTTCAAAGAAATAATTCACCTTCACTGTAGGAGCTATATAGCCCCACCCTAGCACAAGAACCCCTGTCCCTGGGGCCATGAATTTCACAATTTTGGAAGAGGTGTCCTTGCTTATCATAATAATGTACTTAGTTTGTTTAAATAATACCCAGAAGCAGAGAAGAAGATTTTTAAAGCATTAATGCATTTTCACTATATAATAAATAGAGCCCCACCCTAACATCAGAACCCCTGACCCAGGGGCCATGAAATTCACAATTTTGGTAGAGTTACTCTTGCTTATCATAACTATGTATTTAATTTGTTTAAATAATACCCAGGAGTAGAGAAGAAGATTTTCAAAGAAATAATGCACTTTCACTATATGATCTATATAGCCCCCCCCCCCCCCCCCCCCAGCACCAGAACCCCTTACCCTGGGGCTATGAATTTCACAATTTTGGTAGAGTCACTCTTGCTTATCATGACTATGTATTTAATTTGTTTCAATAATACCCAGGAGTAGAGAAGAAGATTTTCAAAGAAATAATGCACTTTCACAATACGATCTATATAGCCCCACCCTAGCACCAGAACCCCTGACCCTGGGGCCATGAATTTCACAATTTTGGTAGAGTCACCCTTGCTTATCATAACTATGTATTCAATTTGTTTCAATAATACCCAGGAGTAGAGAAGAAGATTTTCAAAGAAATAATGCACTTTCACTATATGATCTATATAGCCCCGCCCTAGCACCAGAACCCCTGACCCTGGGGCCATGAATTTCACAATTTTGGTAGAGGGCTCAATGCTTATTACAATCATGTCAACAGTTTGACTGCTTGATGTCCAGGAGTAAAGAAGAAAATTTTAAAGATTGCATTAATTTTGATGGTTTTAGCCCCACCCCTCAGGCCCCAGGGGGGCAGGGACCATGAAATTCATAAATTTTGTTCCCCTTCACATATAGATGCCACATGCAAAAATTGGCTGAAATTGGTTCAGCGGTTTCAGAGAAGAAGCTGAAAATGTTCAAATGTTAACACACGACGGACGACACACGACGACGGACGAAAACAGATAGCAATAGGTCACCTGAGTGACTCAGGTGACCTAAAAAAAACAGATAAAAAACAAGATGTGTTTGTGAAACACTGTTGCCCCCCTATGGCAGCTTATGGTGAAGATTAAAGTTTCTCAAATGCAAGTCAAAATCCAAGCCAAAAGATAAAAAATGTTGGTACCCAAAGAAAGGTCTTGTCTCGAGGAATATACCTGTGAAATTTCAAAAGACCTAGCTGCAATTGTTCAAAAGTTAGGGCGAAGGTTAAAGTTTTGTAAAAGTAAGTAAAACGTCAAGGTCAAAGTGGTTGGTATCCAAAGGAAGGTGATGTCACAAGGATTACATATGTGAGGAATGAAAGCCCTAGCATCAACCATTAAAAAGTTCTGGCCAAGGTTAAAGTTTTTCAAAAGTAGGTCAAACTCCTAGGTCAAGGTCAAAAGGTCAAAGTGGTTGGTATCCAAAGAAAGGTCTTGTCACAAGGATTACATATGTAAAGTATGAAAGCCCTAGCTCCAACTGTTCAAAAGTTATGGCCAAGCTAGTTAAAGTTTTTCAAAAGTAGGTCAAACTCCTAGATCAAGGTCAAAGGGTCAAAGAAGTTGATATCCAGAGGAAGATCTTGTCACAAGGAATAAACATGTGAAGTTTGAAATCCCAAGCACCACCTGTTCAAAAGTTATGGCCAAGGTTAAAGTTTTTCAAAAGTAGGTCAAACTCCAAGGTCAAGGTCAAAAGGTCAAAGTGGTTGGTATCCAAAGGAAGGCCTTGTCACAAAGAATACACAGGTGAAGTTTGAAACCCCAAGCACCAACTGTTCAGAAGTTATGGCGAAGGTTAAAGTCTCATAAAATTTTGCAAAAGTGGGTCAAACTCCAAGGTCAAAAGGTCAAATTTGATGGTACCCGAAGAAAGGTCCTGTCACAAGGAATACACATGTGAAATTTGAAAGTCATAGCTCCAACCAATCAAAAGTTATGGGCAAGGTTAAAGTTGACAACAGACAGACAGATAAACAGACAGACAGGACAAAAACAATATACCCCCGGGATCTTTCGATCCAGGGGCATAAAAATGTTTATAAGTATTGTTTACTAGTGTACCAAGTCTTATTGAAATTGGATCAAAACTGTAGTAGAAGAAGCATTTTGAATTTTGAAAAAAAAAAAATATTTTTAGTAACCATGGCAATACTGTTCATCAAAATCAAAAAAACAATACCAGAATTATGTATCTTGTATTGAAAGTTTCCTGAAAGAAATTCACAAAAATCTCTATTTTTGGTAGTCATGGCAACACCATTCACCAAAATTATAAACTTATATTTAGAATTATGTACCGGTATCTTGCTGTAGTCTACTTGTTTACCAAGTTCTACTGAAATCGGACCAAAACTGTAGGAGCATTTTTAAAAATTGTGTAAAAAGAGATGGACAGACAGGGGACACCTTACTACTGTACATTCCTAAATGTACGCAAGGAATTAATTATCGCCTAATTTCACGAGAAGCATCACTCACGAAATAAAATTACTCTATTTTATTTTTATGGTGATGAAATCCATGTAAAATCTCGATCAACCGTCCACTCGCGAATTACTGTTCTCGCAATTTGACATCAAAAGAGACATTTCAGGATATAAGTACTTTTGTAAATTTAGGAATTTACAGTATTGCATAAGCTCTTCTGGTCTCTGACCAATAGAGCTAAAAATGTAAAGAAAGCCTTTTAAAATATATCATTATGAATTTAATAAATGCTTTTTTTTTCACAATATACTGCACTACATTATATTTCAAATTTCAAAATCACTAGGAATCCTCGTCTGACCAGTTCCAAGGAATACACACTAATCCATCATCTGTAACGGAGTAATACTGCGTCACTCTTATACTAATACCCTCCACGTTTGTTGCAATGTCACTGGAACGGTCCATCAGTCTCTCGCAGCACTGAGTCATCTGAGCGGGGGAAATATTCAGGTCTTTTTCCAGGTCACAGAGACCTAGTTTATCTCGACATTGTTCTATCACCTCATCCTCAATCATCCTCAAACTAAAACAAACCATTAAATCACTCTGTAAAATATTCTTTTTATGATCAACAAGTAAATAACACTATAAATGTAAAGCTGAGCACAATAATTCTTCAGATCAGAATCACTGTACATACAATTCAGTTCTGCTGGTTTTAAGGATTCCTATGTTCTTTTACCAGGCTCAAAGACCATAAACTGAGAATAGACTTAAGTCAAACTTTCAAATAAGTATAACTTTCAATAACTTGAATATTATACAAACTTGCAACTTTTTAATTATTTTGATTTAATAAAGATCAAGATAATTGAAATGTAAATTTTGACTTAAATATGTTCTCAGTTTATGGTCTTGAGTCCTGGTATTACCGGTATATGTATGTATTTAATTTGAACTTACAAGATTGCATTTTCAAGTTCTTTTGCCTGGTGTTATGTGTAAGTACTGTACATGTAAATCACTTTTTATTTGTGCAAACTTTATTTTGGTGTAAGTAAAGGCGAGACCGTCTGCTCATGAAAATTTCATTCTCACATATAATTCTACTTTTAAAGAATACAGAGAGCAATAACCGAAATTCATGAAAATTTTGTTTTGCTTATAAATACAAAAAAACAACTTCGCCAAAATAAGGTATTGCAAAAATTTGGTGATCTACAGTATTTCTTTAAATTAAATCACAAGACAGCATTCCTTAGTTACTTCTTTTGTTTTGTATTACGTATTTATCTGTACCAGTATATGGATTATTTATTTGTATTGGTATATGGAGTATTTATTTGTACCGGTATATGGGGTATTTATTTGTATCAGTACATGGAGTATTTATTTGTACCAGTATATGGAGTATTTATTTGTACCCGTATATGGAGTATTTAATTGTACTGGTATATGACATTTTCCCCGGTGATAAGTATTTATTTTGTACTTACGAGATTGAATCCCTAAGAAGTTCTTCTGCTTGGTGCTGAGTGTTCTTAATAAACTCAATAATCATTGAGCCTGGCATAGACACTGGAATTAAATATTGCCCCAAATTTGTCAAGGTCAGAGGTGCTGATGACCTGCCAATAGAAGAATTCAAAATTAAACATTACTTCAAAAGCAGCTTGAGGTACTGTGAGTGAACTCACAAAATAACACCCCCATTGCATTTTTTTTAAAGTGCCTATTTGCAGTTTTGTAAATGTGACCTTGAAATTGCCAAAATGAAATGACATACCCTCTGGTCATAAGTAATCTTTAAGTGAAATATGGAAATCCAATCTTTCTTTATTATATTATTATAGACCTGTTTTGAATTTTACTATTTTTCTGCCAGTACCTTGAACTTGTCACACTGACTTGTGCATAAGGTTATGGCACAGTCTCAGGTCATAAAAAAATCTTTGTACCAAGTATGAGCTTCCAATGATTCTCCAAGAATTTCTTCAAGAATTTCCTACTTTTTCTGCCAGTGACCTTGAACTTGCCAGAATGACCTTGGGTCAAGGTCATGACATATCCTCAGGTCATAAACAATCTTTGGATCAAGTATGAGATTCCAAGTACATGTATGAGATTCATCAAGTTTTAAATTTCAAATCTCTATTACAAGATATAACCCAGACAAGATTGCACGGACAGACGGACAAGGTAATTCCTATACATGTATATCCTCCCAAACTTTGTTTGCTGGGGGTATAATAAGTTTGTATGCGAAAGCCAAGATCAATGCATGCACTAAAAATTTAAAAGTATGAATATATGAACAAGAATTGAAATGCATTTTATTTATACATTGTAATACCTCTTCCTGAAAAGAATCATTTATAAGTCAGCTGGTTTTGTTTTTTACGTTGTTACATTGTAAAAGAACTCTGAAAATCTCACCCTTCCACTACCATTTCTAAGTAAGAAAGGTCACGGCCTTTGAACCCTCGCCTAACAAGATCCTGATTCCGTCTCAAGGTATTTAAAATCTTGTTCAACAAAAGTTCATACTCTTCTGCCATAACAATGTGGTGACGTTCCCGTCGACGGATCTTAATGTGACATAATAATCGAGACAGTTCAAGTTCCATGTATGGAAGACGTTCTAAAACTGCATCATATGCTGGGACTGCAGTCAGCCTCTGAAATGTCAAAAAGTACAAGTAATAATTAATTAAAGAGCACTATCAAATTCTTCAAGTAAGTTTAATAGAAATAATTATGTCCATGGGGCATTAATCCCCCTACCTTATTCTACATTTGAACTGCATCTTAAAAGGAGATGTCTCCTGTATATTTCTGGCCAGTATAAAAATATTATGTTAGTAGAAAATATACAGAACCCAGAGATCTATTGTTTTGAACATGTTTTATTAAATAAATCAAAAGAATAAGAAAAAAATTTTTACAACTTAAGGGCTCCCTCTACTTATACATGTATTACAGATGTTGCTATATATAGTGTTGGTTTGTCCAACCCAAAAGTTAAATGCATTGAAAAGATATAACTCAAGAAGTTTTGGTGGTTTTCATATGTGATAAAGGAGGTGATATTCAATGAATGTAAATATTTTCACATGTATGATGTTTTTGTCTTCAAGAAAAGATTTTTAAAATTCAAATTGCTTGAAATAAACATGTATATTTAAATTTAAAGTTAATGTAAGATGTCTCTATGTAGAAAAAATTACCTTTAATGTAATCATTACTAAGAAGCATTTAAAGGGTACCTCTTTTTAATCTATGGCAAAGTATGTTCTTACCACGATGTTAACAGTTTCATAAGAACTTTATTTTTTGATTGTTTCAGAACATATCTTAGTCATTGTCTTAGTTGAGTTACAGTTGAGGTACAGCAGCAAAAGGGGGGGGGGGGGGGGGGTCCACCCACCCACCTCTCAAAACTGTTCAGCAGATGAAGAATTCAGATCTTTATACATACCATTAGCCAGACTTGTGGGACATCTGTGTGGTTAAGGCACACCTCCCCTGACAAACTGACACCATTTCTGTCACTGATTACAACATCTCTCCCTATAAAGAGATCAGAACCATTTTATCACACATGCTTTAAGATTTTCTTCCAATCTATTATAGGCAGAAATTTCAAGTACATGTGGTTAACCATTGGAAATAACTGCATTGTACAATTCATATTTATCTGACAACATAAAGTCTCTTACCAGCTAAATATTTTTTGACCATTTCTGGGTGGTTCTCGGAGACCTTTTCCAGTGAGGTTAAACAGGCAGTGTACCGACGCGGTCCCCAATTAGTGTGCCATTTAACTGCCCTTACCCCAACCAACTTGTTCAACCTCTTTGTGATGTCCTGAACATCCTTTTCATATTCTTGAGACTCCTTTGTGTTTTTTCTTGAGATTTTAGAATTAGTTTTTAACCATGATCTGTAATAAATAAATACATTTTCTAATTACAGTCAAGCCTTGTTATTTTGAACTCAATGGGACAGAGGAAAAACTTCAAGATATTTGAAGATTCAAGATATCCAGGGTGAAATACATGTACTTAAAGAATAAGGGGTTGGAACTTCAAAAACCTTCAACATATGCATGGTATTCCACATATCGGTGTTCAAGATACCGAAGTTCAACTATATAAGGAAAAATATCAAATACTAGTATATCATCATTTGTGTTTGTTCGTATATTGTTAAACATCCCTCTTGAGAATTTTTCACTCATATGGAGACCCCACTACTTGCCGGTGGAGGGCTGCAAATTTTAACCTATGCTCGACACTCAGGGTCATTGAGCAGTGAGGGACCTTTTTCATGCCAACACCTATTGCAACAGGTGACCTTGGTTTATAGAGTCTCGTCCAAAGGACTGGTCTCCACGTCCGGCAGTGGATTCGAACCTGTGACATAAGGATCAACTCCAACTCCATGACTCTGTAGCAGATGCTCTAACCACTGCGCCACACAGGCGATCACCATTTGTGTAAACAGACAAGTACAATCTCTGTCTCCATTCTTGACGCTCTAACCACTGCGCCACACAGGCCACCACCATTTGTTTAAACAGACAAGTACAAGTACAATCTCTGTCTCCATTCTGATACGACTGAAATATGGTATCTTGAACACAAATATCTTGAGTATCTTGAAGTCCCAAGCACTTTTTCTAGAAGTATTTTACTCTCAATGTCTTGAAACCTTGAATATCTCTGTTTTTTCTGTCCTTCAAGTTTGCGATGGGACACACCTACTCACCAGACTTCTGTTCTTTATCAGCAGATTTTTCCTATGTAAAATAAAAATAACATATTGTGGAACCACCCTACCTCAGCCCCATCCTACCCCCCAGATGTCATGATCTGAACAGAACTCTGAAGATGCTTCCAAATAATTAAGGAATGAATTTAATAACTACCCAAGTTATACAGTATAACCTGGGTTGGGGCAGTTTATGCTTTATATAAATGTAACATCAAGCGGATTGATACTTTTTTGACGCAAGTCATTGTGACATAGGCAACCCAGGTTATACAGTATAAACTAATTTTTCAGCTAATCAAAAAGTGTGTTACAACCAGAATTAAATTAAATATGGCTAATCATGGCTTTGCTGTTCCCTAGAAAAGATTTATCCTATATATTCCTATTTAAAATCTGATCACCCATCATGGCCCTACCCTGCCCCCTGGGGTCATTATTTAAACAAATCTGAATCTACACTACCTGATGAATGCTTCCATACAAATATGACAAATGATGAATTTGCTGTTATTGAGAAGAAGAATTTTTAAAGATTTTTCGTATGTATTCCTATCTAAAACTTTTATCACTCAATTTTGGCCTCACCCTGCTCCCAGGGGTCATGATTTAAACAAAACTAAATCTGCATTACCTGAGGATGCTTCCACACAAATATGATGACTAATGATGACTCTGCTGTTCTTCAGAAGAAGAATTTCAAAGATTCCTCTTATGTATTCCTATGTAAAACTTTGATCACTCAACACTGGCCTCCCCTACCCCCATAGGTCATGATTTGAGGATGCTTCCATATGATTAATCACGACTTTGCTGTTCTTGAGAAGAAGAATTTTAAAGATTTTTCCTCTGTATTCCTATGTAAAACATTGATCGCCAATAGTGGCCCCAACCTACCCCTGGGAGTCATGATTTGGATAAAACTGAATCTATACTACCTAAGGCTGCTTCCATACAAATACAGTACAATTCGTTTTTTATCATACCGGTTTTATATCATACTTCTTTTTTTATCATAGATATCTGAAACACAAAACCATTTCTTAATAATTCATTATAAATTTTGTCTGTTATTATCATAGGTAAAAGTATACACTTCGCTTACTATAATAGAAAATGTCCGTCCGTAATATTTTTTTCACACCTTTTCACTCTTGGGACAATCAACAAAACAAAAGATAACACCTATCTACACTTGTGGTTCATGCACTGTCGCTTGTCTATACACAATGGCTTGATTTTCACTTTGAAATTTGCCGATAGTGAAAGACTGGGGAGAGTAGTCACACTTCAGTGCACTTACCTGAGCGATTGACAGGGAGTCTGTTTATTTTATGAAGTACATGACAGGATAACACGAACTCTTTTTTTTTTCATAACTTATTTTCTTCTTATGTTAATCCTGAATTGTACGTTCGTAATAAATACGTTTTACCAAATGTGTTGAAACTAAAATTAGTGTCAATATTAACCCAAGCTTTCTTACGCTTGGTGTCTGGATCAGTGTTCATAGTTAATATCATTTACAAAACTACCCGATTAATTAAGAAATGATTAAGTGAAATTAACTCTTTCACCAGTCTGTCCAAGCGGCTTTGAATGCATATGCTCATCAGCCTATCGATTTTAATTATACGGCGACATTAAGTGTAAATAGGTATTTTTTTATGTCTACTTTGGATGAATAAAAAAAACAATTTGAATGCATGCTGTGTTAATTTATTTAATATGTGACCAAAAACAAAAAAACAAAAACAAAAACAAAACAAAACCGAAACGAAACGAAACATTGGTAATTTGAATTGACCATAAATTAAAAATGAAAGTAGATCAAAATAAACAAGATGGATGCCAAGGGATCTAGAAGATTGAGTTTGAAGCGTATTAAGCTTTATTTAAGTGAATTTATTTATAATAAAAAGTGGAAACAGTAAGTAAATATTGTGAAATGATATGTCAGTTAACTTGTATTCCAAATAAACCTAAAAAATCAAAATTATATGTAACGTAAGATGTATATTACATCCAATAATTTACACAAACGTCGTATCGTCAGCCGTCTGACATGAATTTCAGCCGACTATGGTTATTATAAAAGTCGCTTATTATAAAGTTTTGGCTTGACAAATAAACTATGATTATAAACGAATTGTACTGTATGACTACTCATAATTTTGCTGTTCTTGAGGAGAAGAATTTTTAAGATTTTTCCTATGTATTCCTATGTAAAACTTTGATCGCCCATAGTGGCCCCACCCTACCCCTGGTGGTCATGATTTGAACAAACTTGAATCTACACTTTCCCAGAAAGGAGAAAGTTTCATTTTTTTCTGGTCCAGTGGTTCTTGGAAGGAAGATTTTTAAATTACTCACCCAATTTTCACTATTTCTTAATTAGCTCCCCTTGGACAGGGTGTACCCCTTTATTGAACAAAATTGAATCCCCTTTACCCAAGGATACTCTGTGCCAAGTTTGGTGAAAATTGGCACAATGGTTCTGGAGTAGAAGATGAAAACGTGAAAAGTTTATGACAAAATACAGAGTGGACAAATTTCAGCTCAGGTGAGCTAAAAAGTCACACTGACCATTACACTGCCACTAAATTATCTCTCTGGTAATTCAAAATGCTTGGCTTCTACACCTTCCCTAATTTTATATAATTGATATCATTTGAGGATGTACTAGAAAGAAAGGTCAATAGATAATAACATTAAAACATCCACTTTTTAATCTTTATCCTGCTATATATTTTAGCTGTCTGGCACTTCCTGTGTGGACCATTAATTAATTGACAAGTACATTTGTATCATATCAAGTTGTGTAGCTAGGCAAAAATAATGTGGATGCATTTCTGATTGAAAAGGAGGGGGGCCCATATAAAGCCCCCCCCCCCTTTTTCAGTGGATCCAGGAGGAGAAACCCAGCAATTTTCACAGAAATTGACAATGTTTAGGAGTTTAGATTTAGTCTAAGAATATGCAGTATTGTGGTAATTTTTGAATACCGTGAAGTCAAGAAATACTTGTATTCTTTCATCGAACAATTTTGTATTAATTTATTCATTAGAATTTTTTGCTGCTTTTTTTGGAAAAATAGCCTGGATGCTTTGACATACAAGCAGACATGGTAGGTACATCACCTATATCTATGATGATGATACTGATGGCAGATAGCATACATCATGTGATTCCCAGTTGATTCACAGAGTAATGAACAAGATGTGTTTGCGAAACACTGATGCCACAATATGGCAGCTCAAGGACAAGGTTGAAATTTTCAAATGTAGGTCAAACTCCAAGGTCAAGAGTTCAAAAATGTTGATTAACAAAGAGAGGTCATGTCACAAGAAATACACATATGAAATATAATAGCCCTAGTACCAACCATTCAGAAACTATGGCCAAGGTTAAAGTCTTTCAAAAAGTAGGTCATACTTCAAGGTCACTGTCATGAGAACAAAAATTAATAGTACCATAGGAAAAGTCTTGTCACAATGAACGCATAAGTGTATGAAAGCCCTGGCAGCATCCATTCAAAAAAGAAAGGCAAGGTTACAGGTTTTTCAAACAGTAGGTGAAACTCCAAGGTTAAGGTCATGAGGTCAAAAATGTTGGAATCCAAAGAAAGGTTTTGTCACAAGGAATAAACATGTCATATATGGAAGTCCTAGCACCCATCATTCAAAAGTTATGGCCTGGGTTAAAGTTTTTCAAAATAGGTCAAACTCAAAGGTCAAGATTGAAAGGACAAAAATGTTGGTACATAAAGAAAGGTCTGAATACATGGAATACACATGTGAATACAAAAGCTCTATCTCCAACAGTTCAAAAGTTATCTAAGGTTAAAGCTTAGTAAATTTTTGCAACAGTAGGTTAAATTTCAAGGTCTCAAGGTCAATAATGTTGGTACCCAAAGAAAGGTCTTTTCACAAGGAATACACATGTGAAATATGAAAGCCCTGGCATCTACCATTCAAAAGTTATGGGCAAGGTTAAAGATTTGCAAACAGATTAACTGACAGATGGATGGACAGACCAAAAACTATATGCTCCATAATCTTCAATTATGGGGCATAAAAATAAAATGCCATATACATTTGCATGCATATCAATCACTTACATCAAATTCAGTTTTCTGACTTTTCTGTAAAATGCCTCACCACCTTTCCGTCCAGCAAAAATGTCTCCGAAGTCAGGTCCATGGTAAACCCTTCTCTTGGTAGTTGTGGGTACATCTGATAATGTGTTGATGTAATCCAATGGCAACTGACAAGAAGTGAGAACTGTTGCTACAGTATCCCGAATACTGGGTGATGCTAAGTGAACTTTTACATGGTTTAAACCTGTGAAGGAAAATTTGAAATGTTTAATAAACAATTTAAAGCAGGACTAAATTTCATTGAGGAAATTTTCATTTCAATATAAGAACCAGCTCTACAATTTTAATGGATTTTAACACCTCAACATCAGGATTTTAAAAACAATATAACATTAACTAGCAAATCAAATTTCAATACATTAAATAATTTATAATTTTGAAAAAAAAGATGATTTAACAGGATCATAGTTACTAAAATTATCCGTGTCTCTCTTGGCAAAAAATGTTAGGTTGGTTGGTGAGACTCTCTCCTGTTTTCTGAGGGCAAATATATATTGGTGAAGTTTCTTTAGGGAATCTTCATTTATAGACTGAAATAAATAAAGCCGTCTCTAAATTTCCAGGTAACAAATGATATTAAACAATACAGGGTTACTGAACTTGTATTGGTGAATTTTGGCACAAGATGCATGGGCTTGCCAGTGCCAATACTCACCAAATATAAGTTCTATAACTCCTTTATTATAAAGCTGAAACATTTTCCCAAATGTTTTTAATTACATTAATTTTTAAATAAAATAACTCAAAATTAAGGAGAATGATTCAATATATGTGTCTATATTAAAAGTGTGACAGAGTTAAACAATCACAACTGGAGAATTGAATTTTTTCAGCTGGTGAGTCTCAAAACTGAAGTTTCTATATCAATGTATTTTTAAATTGCAGAGGACCATCCTACCCCTTAAATTAGGAAGAATTAACTTCTATTTGACTTAAGGAATGAATTTAATAGCTATCCAATTTATAAGGTATAAAGTGGGTTGGGGCAGTTTACACTTTATAAACCGCGAAGCGGTTTATAAAAAAGCGTAAACTGTTCCAACCCACTTTATCCCGTATAAATTGGGTAGCTATTAATTTCATTCCTTATAATTTAATTTTCATTCATTTAGTGTAAGAAAAAAGAAGACTGCCCTTAAAAAATGACTTCAAATTGTACAAAATTTAAATATAATGTCAGGCGGATTGATACCTTTTTGACGAAAGTCATTGTGACGTAGGTAACCCAATTTATACGATATAAAGTAAATTTCTTATCCAATCAAATGGCGTGCTACAATCAGAATTAAATTATATCAGTATGAATGAGAGGTTTTGAAAATTTGGAAAACTTAACCAAATTGTTGTCTAGTACAAAACAAAAAAAATTCATGACATAGTTTGTAATCAAGTAATGTGGTATCTGGTATTCAAAATAAGCTAGTTTATTAATGTGTTAAAATTTAGTCCCCAAATGGTGTTGATTTATCAACTTGTTAGTAAAGTAAAACAAAGATTTCATATACCAAATTAAATGTCTTTTTTTCTTTTCTTTTTTTTTAAACATATTTGTTTTTTAAACAAAATAATTTTTTTTTTAATGTTGTCCAATATCATTAATATGCATAGATAAAATGGAAATACCCTCATAAAGAGGTGGCATATTTTGGGTGTGCAAGTTTTAGCAAAATCCTATAGTCTATTTTTAACTAGAATGTGTAAAGCTTTATTCACGATTAATCAAGATACAGTGAAACCCATGTATTCCGACATGCACTGAGAAATAAATTTTGTGTCGGAATGGAACGGATGTTGGACTGTACAGTGTAAAGAACACGGAAAATAGTAAAATGGGTATGAAAATAAAGGTCAGAATTCACAGTGAAACGGATTTCATAGGTGTCGGATTAGACAGTTTTCACTGTATCTGTATTTTTAATGAGCACTCTAGCATTAATATGGCATTGGAGAATTTTAGCAACTACAATAATTACAATGTTCTGCATTCAGTAATAATCATTGATGGTCATTGAATATCAAGTGTCTTATCACTTATTTTACAATTTCATTATAACATGTTGATTCCTATGAAGCTACAAAGCACTGGAGTTGTTATCTAATTTCCTTTTTTACACTGGTTAATTATATGAAACAAGATAACATTTCAGTGAGAAAGATGAAGATAACAGTGATATATCTCAAAAATCTACAAACAATTCATATCTGTGAACAAGGCATAAAACATGGATCCCCAATAATTCCAGAGGTGGTTGCCTAGGTCAAATAATATTCAATTTGAAGATTTTCAAAACACAGCAGAGTTGAAAATTAATCGGGAGGTGCAGAAGGGGTTGCAATATTGGGAGATTTTGAGAGACGTGTATGTAATATTGTTTTTTTCAAAAGAGAATAATATTCATGGACCCATTGCATTGCCCATATATCAAGATCTGAAAGGATTAAAACATCATTGAATATATATATATATATATATATATATATATATATAGATATAGATATATAGATATATATATAGATATATATAGATATATATATATGATATGATGTATTCTACCACAGTTATTGCCAAGATCAAAGAAATGCTGCGGACATTATTCTCCAATAAATCACGAACTTCATCAAAAACTTACATGTATCAAATAAAAAACACGAATATCAAACCTGTACAGTTGAAAGGAATATTTCAGTGTACAACCTAATACTTATTTAGACTATATGTGTCATCTTTCGCAGTCTAAAGAGTGTGTAATGCCTAAAACAGCTGAAAAATGTCGGTCTTTTATAGCTAAGTAAGGCTGTCCCACGAACCTCCTCACACCATTCACACTCTGTGATTTTACTGATAAAGTAATGAAATAAACAACTGATTTTGTTCTTTTACATTCACAAAAATTAATCAATATATGTTACAAACAAATTTATAAATAATTAAAGGATTTTTTAACCCAACAAATGCTCAAATCATCTGCATTCTATGCAATGGATACACAAGTAAACAAAAAAATTGACCCTCTGGTGTTAAATGGAATAGCGTAATCGTGACATGGTGACCTAATTCGTCTCTCTATAGAGGAAACAATCAGCTGTATTTTAGAGCTGTTAGTAGAATAGAAAGAAGAGGCCCAGGAACCACATCACTCTATCTGAGACTGTGGCTAGGAAAAAAGCAAAAATCAGTTTAGTATTGCAATGCTTAAATGCATAAATGGTCTCGACCTACCCCTAAAAGGGAGGGGGTATGATTTGAACAAAATTGAATCTACACTAACTAAGGATGCTGACATATTTTTTTTGACTATAACTGTGACTTTTTTCCTACAAGTTTAAACTTTCATTGTGGCCCCTACCTACCCCTGAGGGTCATGATTTGATCAAACTTGAATCTACACTATCTGAGGATGCTGCCATATAAATATGACCAATCATGGCTTTGCTGTTCTTGAGAAGATTTTTAAAGATGCTCACAATGTATTCCTATTTATTATATACCCAATTGTTTGTCACTCAGTTTTACTGTTGAATTTACGCAATCACGTAACGGTGTGATCCGACGTTCCGGATCACCACACTGTGGTTTTCTGAATCCATATCACCCCTCTCTGAAACTGATGACGTAGTACACAGAAAAATGACGTCTTTATTCTCACGCATCAAAAAGTTCCTTGACAAAATGGTTTGTTTAATGTATAAAAGTTATGTAATTGATCTAAAAAGTTTCCTTTTATTATATTTTGCTGGTTGTAAATAGGTATATAATAAATTTATCATTACAACAGTAACTTGATCCGAAGAGCCGTATCACGTCTCGTTGACAGGCGCGGATCATCAGATCAAACTCGACACTTCGCGTCTCGTTTGATCTGATGATCCGCGCCTGTCAACTCGACGTGATACAACTCTTCGGATCAAGTTACTGTTATAATAATATATATGTAAAACATTGATCACCCAATGTGGCCCTACCCTACCCATGGGGGTCATTATTTGAAAAAACTTGAATCTACACTACCTGAGGATGCTTCCATGTAAATATGAATAATCAAGGCTTTGCTGTTCTTGAGAAGAAGGTTTTTAAAGATGCTCCCTATGTATTCCTATGTAAAACATTGATTGCCCACTGTAGCCCCACCCTACCCCCAGGGGTCATGATTTCAACAAACTTAAATCTTCACTACCTGAGGACGCTTCCACATAAGTTTCATATTTTCTAACACAGTGGTTCTTGAGAAGAAGATTTTTGAAAGATGCCATAAATTTTTCATGAATTCACAAATTATCTCCCCTTGGAAGAAGGCGTGGCCCCTCATTTGAAAAAACTTGAAATCTCTTCACCCAAAGATACTCTGTGCCAAGTTTGGTTGAAATTAGCCCAGTAGTTCTGGAGAAGAAGATAAAAATGTGAAAAGTTTATGACAACAACAAGAACAACGATGCCAACAACAACGACAATGACAGACAATGGACAAATTTTGATCAGAAAAGCTCACTTGAGCCTTTGGCTCAGGTGAGCTAATAAAGTCCTTATTGTCGTGAATGATGCAGGATAACCTCCTCGGGTCTCGAAATGTTGTTTGGAATGTAAAAGCCTTGGCTAACGCTTCGGCTATTATATTTCAAACATTTCTAGACCTCTGAGGTTATCCTGCAACATTCATGAAATTGCAGATTTATTTCTTAATTAAATCACTGCAGCTCTACCCTTTCTCTGGGGTGCTGTCCAAAGAGATCAGGATGGACGGTAAAGTAAAAAGGACGCAATGCTGTAGCTGCTTCACTCACACTTAACCAACGATAGATTCTTGGACGTCTGCAAAAATTATGAAGATAGAACTAAATAAATGCATTAAACAGTTAAACCCCAATAAATAAAAGATTTATTCAATAGATATATATTAGCACCATAAACAAATATTTCAAATGATTTTCAAAAGATACACCTTTTGTAATAATTCTATTTTTAAAGAATATAAAAACATTGCTAATTAAATAATCAGAATTATTGCATAATCTGCATTTAAGGCGAAAAGACATTCAAAATAACTTCGCTGTTCTTGACAAATAACATAAAGGGAACTCCGTTTGGCCTACATGACACATGTCTGCAACCTAAAACATCGTTCATTCACTTCGATGCACTGACAATTTTTTTCCCAATATTACCTAATAATAAATTTTATAAATGTCAAAAGTCAAAGGAGTAAAACATACTGATTCGAAGGTTTACAGCACGTTAATGTTGAAATGCTGGATAGCGGACGACGTAGGACATTCATGTCACCATTGTGATAGTTCACGGAGACCAGCTCAAGAGAACCAGATTTAAAGGTAACAGGACGTTTCGCCCCCTATTGACGATTCGCCCCACCGACCGTTTGCGCCCGAATATTCCGATAAAAGTTTATATATAGAGAGAGAAAGAGAGAGAGAGAGATACATGTAGCAGGTTCCAGTAAATGTTCTACCATTAGCCTCTTTCTTTACTCCTCACTAAAATATTAACAGCAGTGAAGGAGAAACTTCAGGAGTACTGTGCAACAAATATATTCGAGGAGCGGTGGTGTAAATCAGATGTGAATACTTAAAACCCCCAAAGAACTTTTGAAAATTTGAAATCACAAAATTTTACCAAAATCAATAACATAAAAACTTACGATTCCCCACAATAAATTAAAATCCAGGATTTTTGACTTCATTGACAGCTGCCTTTTCAATAAAAATGGAACTCGTAAATTTACATACCTTGTCATTGGTCATTTGCAAAATTATTTTGTTAAAAAACATTCTGATTGTACACACAAGTACTCTGAAGTTGATATTAAAAAGATGCTTGAGTTTCTGATTGACAGTATCTATGTGTTTTTTGGAGACCAGATCTTCCAACAATTAATCTGTTAGAATTTCCATGGGTACCAATCGCGCCCCGTTGTTAGCAGACCTATTTTTGTATTTATATGAAGCAGAATTTATTCAAAATCTTATACATGAGAAAAAGAAATCTCTTGTTGTGGCCTTCAACTCGACATTTAGATATATTGACGACGTATTATCAATTAACAATAGTTATTTCCATTTATATGTCGACACGATACATGTATATCCCATGCAGTGAGCTTGAAATAAAAGATACGACAGAGTCTGACACATCTGTTTCATGTTTGGATATTTTACTAGAAAAATCCTGGATTCTCCCCTGGACATATCATGAAGTACTATGACTTTGATGCAGATAATTTACTGATATGATGTTGAATTCAATAAATAAATATGTCTTTAGGTTACAAAGTTTTTACTAATCTATAAAGCATGTTTATGCTACTGTTGGCAAACTGGTGCAAAATTCAGATGTATGTGATGTAGTCAGCTCTTTGTATAGACCTAACAAGCATACAATTGAGTTTTATACAAATTTATGCTTACTAGTAATTTATTTTGCTCAATCCAACACACACTGCGTTGTAGATCTTCACATATCTCTTCACACATCTTTGCATGGCTGTATGTTTCTACCGAATTATCTGTTACATCTTGTGAAGAATCGTACGTCTGCATACCCGGTACATATTTACATGAGAATGTTTGAACAGTGCTTGTAGATAGTTATTAATACATGTATACAGGATTTAAAAAAAACAACAGTGGGTCTAAAATAGAGCCCTGTGGAACTGCAATACATGTATACACGTACATGTAGTTACTTTTCATCCGATAGATTGCCTTCCCAATTAGTGTAATTAACTCTCTGTACACGAATTATTAGATAGATTAAAACCATGCATTCAAATGTATCATTAAATATGCCAAAACACGCGTTTGTATAATAAAACTTTGTGATTGACAGTGTCAAATGCTTTCCGAAGTCTATAAAAAGTACACTCGTACAATGTAAGTTTACCTTCATCAGTATTTTAAGCCATTCATATCTACATGATCATGATCTACTACAGTAATAAGAGTGCTTTCACATGAGTGTTTTGGTCTAAAACAATATGTAATTAGAAAAACTAAGTGCATAAGTATGATGAGCAAGGGTGCCTCTTTAAAAGACTGAAATTCATGGTCCCTACACGTAGGTCAGGAGTTCTGGGGTTAGGACGGGGCTCTTATATTCATCATATAGTGAAAATGCATAAATTCTTCTCTGCTCCTGAGTATGGGACAAGTGCATGGATACTATTAGCAAGGGTGCCTATTCCAAAAATCTGAAATTCATGGTGTCAGGTTCAGATGTTCTGATGTTTATAGAGTGACTCTATCTATCATATTGAAAAAGTTTTTTAAATTATTTGAAAATCTCCTTTGCTTCTGGGTATTAACCGATAAATTAGGTGCAAAATCATGAAAAGCAAGGACGCCTCTTCCAAAATTGTGTAATTTATGGCCCCTGGGTCAGGGGTTCTTGAGTTAGGGCAAGCCTGAAGGGCTCTATTCATCATATACTGTAAATGCATTAATTCTTTGAAACTTTTCTTCTCTGCTCATGGGTAATAGACAAACTAAATGTTTAATTATGATGTGCAAGGGAACCGCTTCAAAATGTGAAATCCATGGCCTCAGGGCAGGTTTTAGGGGTAAACGTTGGTTCCTAGGGATTTTATTTTGTGTTGCAATCTTGATAACAAATTAACACATCATGAGGTACGTGAATTCATGGGTCTCTTCATACGAGGAAAATTTAACTCACCCAAAAATTTGCGATTTCATCAGAGTACCCTGTGCAACATCTCCGTATACAGAAGAACTCAAAGTATAGAAAAAAAAATTCATTTAAATCTGTATCAGTATCTGCTACTTGTATAATTACACCTATCAGTATGAAAAAAGTATTTTGTTGAGAATAATTTTAACTTACAGAATCTATCTACATGTATTTTGAACTTTTATCCTTGTTTGTCTTTTAAAGTCCATCTATATTGAAATAACCTCAGTTTTTATTGCCCACTTTCACCGAAAGTGGGGGATATTAATTCGTGTCTGTCTGTGTGTAATATTCGATATCTCTAGTCTTTGAGCTTTTGCAATGAAATTTTAAACCACAACTACCTATGACCTAAATAAGACGCCTATTGATTTTGAGGTCAAGGTCATACATTCTGTTTTATGTGTATCACTTTCGTTTCCAGGCGATATTTTTAAAAGCCCGAGCTTTTGCAATGAAATTTTATATTACAACTCTTTTTTGCATTAAAAAAAAGACTCGTATTGTTTTTGAGGTCAAAGGTCAAGGTCAGAAATTCATACTTTACAAATATTTTCAAGATGATAACTTTAGTTTTCATTAAATATCACAACTCCTTCTGGCCTAAGGAAAACCCCTAATGACTTTGAGGTCAAAAGTTTAAAGGTCAAGGTAAGAAATTCAAACATTGCAAATAACATTTTCAAGATGATAACAGTAGTTTCCTTCTTTCTTCCTCCATCTGTATGATTTTTTCAGTTCTTCTTCCCTCTTCTTTTTCTGAAGTGGGGGACACAAATTCTCTGAATTAGCTTGTTTTGTGTGTGTGTGGGTGGGTGTGGGGATATTTCTCTTGCATCTTATTTTACGGAGTGTATACACTATCCTTCATTTAATTTACTATCCAGTGTTGATTGGATATATAGGTCTGCTTTCTGGAACATGTCTACCAGTAAACAAAACCTCTACTGAGTCTAACGGACAGAAACGGGTCAGGTCCATAGGAAGTAATTTAAGTTGGGGGGGGGGGGGCTATCAAGCAAAAATTCATGTAATAACCAACATATATATATATATATATATATATATATATATATATATATATATATATATATATATATATATATATATCCATCCATCCTACATTTTTGTTTATTTCTTTTATCCGATTTCCAAATTTATAATATATCCAAATTCATAATTTAACATTGCCCTTCCACATTATCTTTCTTTCGTTTCTTTTTTATCATGTATAGTTATACTATTTTGAGAGAATAAGACAGTGTACGATTTACTGCATGGTCGTAATTAATTAACGATAATTAATTCGTTCAATTATGTAAATCGCACTTCACCAGAGTACACCCGATAGACCGGACGCAATTCATAGCGCTCCGGATTTCTTTCTTCACAACTGTTTACAAACTTCAAATTAAACATGTAACACTGTAAATATTTAGTGTATGGTAGTTTAGTAGTAATGCTAGTTGTGTTTGTTTCTCCGTTTCCTTTGTTTTTATGACTTCTTAACTTTTTTTGTCCCGAGGAAGGGACAGGTCGTCCCGAAAATTTGACAATTTTTATTGTTCGTTTTTAGTGCTTTAAATACATACATACATATATGAAACTACATGTATATTTGATTTTAATGCAATTTCACATAATCAACAGAGCCCCACCCTAACACCAGATTCCCTGATCCAGGCGCCAAACATTTCACAATTTAGGTGGAGGCACCCTTGCTCATTATAATTATGCACTTTGTTTATCTTGATTACCCAGGAGCAAAAGAGGATTTTCAAAGAAATATCAATTTTTTTTTACCATTTGATCAACAGAACCTCCTACTTCACATCAGAATCCCTGACACCGGGGTCACGAATTCCATAATTTAGGTAGCATTGTTCGTCATTACAACAATGCACTTCGTCTGCTTAATACAATGTACCTGGGAGCAGACCTTCAAAGATTTTTTGCACTTTCAGTACATGATCAATAAAGCTGACTTTAACACCAGAACCCTTGCATTTCACAATTTAAGGTGTCCTTGCTCTCCATAACCATGTACTCATTTTGACTGCTACGTACATACCTAGAAGATTTTTAAGGAAGCTCTAAACACTAATGAAAAATGCTTTTTGGGCTTTGAGAAAAAAATACCATAAAAAGGTGCACATATTCAGTGTATCTAGTTCATTTTCAACATAGGGTGCCTGCCTTATTTCTGCAGGAAAAATGTTCAAAGACAATGAACTATCTGTGAACAGAAATCACTGTTGTTTACTTGCATCGGGAAAATTAATGGAAATAATGTATTCAATTACTTAATCTTGGCCTAACATAACATTAAGAATACTTTAATTCATAACAAATTGTACCATTAACTGTAGATTCCCATTTCTACTATTTTTCTTCTAAGGGCAGATCACTCTAACTCAATAAAACTACCCTACAAATAGAACTCTTTAGTGTGCAGTGTTTACAGCTTCCTTAAAGAATTTATTTAAAGTCACCCCCCCCCCCCCCCCCTTCTGAGTTCTCATTGAAAAGTTGGGGGTTTATAGTAATCGGGATGTCCATCCTTTTTTTTAACTACCGTATATACTCGCCTATGTCGGTTTTTTTGGAGTTAACTTTGGTCCAAAACTCTTTGTCCGACTTATAGGCAAGTTATAAAAAGATTGGAATTTGGAGGGTCAAGCCCTCTAATATTAGCTTAAAAAATACAACCGACTTATAGGTGAGTATATACAGTACCTCCGTACTGGCACCTCAATTTATCATTGCTTTAACTTTGGCAGATCATCTGGACAGTCAATCGTGCAAAATCTTATACATGTACCAATAATATATACTCCGGGCTTGGTTTTTATTTGCCAACAAAATCTCTCGACTACCAGGGTATACTCTCCAATGACGCTGGAATTACTTCTTCGATAACATTCAGCAAACTTATCCCACATAAAGTCATCATCAATCTGAATAAAATTTTACTTGTCATCATTGTTGTTCAAAAAGTTACAATGACTAGAAGGAAATAAACCATGTTCAATTTCAGCCTCAAGCCCAACTCGACAATGTAGTTGCACAATCACAAAAAATAGCCACCTTCAGGATAAGAACACCTATTAAAACACCACAATAACACCTTGTAGGAAAGATGCCTGGTCATCTCAATTCCAATGTTGTTCAGTAACCCTACTGTAAATGACGATCCTGCACTTTCTGAGCATCAATGTATTAAATTTCACTTAGTCTAGCCTTCATGCTAAGCAACAAACCTCAATGAAACAACAAATGCACAATAGGGTGTGTGTTGCATCAATACAAAGTAAACAGTAGGATGTTTCACTCTGTTGGTATTGCACGAGATGATTTTAAACAATTTTTCATTTTTCAACAGGTCTTTGATCGAGAAAAATAAGGATTATCACTATTTCATAAACCATGAAAAAAGAGGACATTTCCAAAAATATGTTTTCTTTCCCAAAAAGTTGGGACTTTTTCGGGAAATTTTCAGTTGTACTGTCTGAATGTTTGTCAGCTGCACTTTAAATTACATTCATTTATGGATGATCAATACTATCGTTTTAAACATTTTAAAGAATTTTTCAAGTACCTTACTTTTGAGGTGGATTACTTTTTGAAAGAGGCAAAGTAGTTCTTTACACTTTATTTCTACTTTTCACTTGAGAAGTTTTGTGACCATACACAATTCCTGAACTTCCTACTTCATATAATCTTAAACCATCCCATTGGACAAAGCTTCTCATACTGATATATAAAATTCCATGTTTTATCTTTGCCATAAAGGGTTTCCTACATGGTTGACAATAAGCCATGCCTCCATAGCTTGTAATTTATCCCTGTAAGTTATTGTTGAACAAGTACCTTGCCAATCAATATAAAAAGATTATAAAAATTAATATGCTAACAATATTAAACATTAATTCACCTTAAACTATTAAATATTTCAAGATAAAAATATTCAGCGAAGTAAAAATCACACAGGACATCATGGACTACCGTGGGATGAAGTAAAAAAATAGAGAAAAATTTTTTTTTTCAAAAAAAAAAAAAAAAAAGAAGAAGAAAAAAAAAAAAAAGATCGTTGAATGACAAAAATGAGGCAAGTCATCAAAAATATAATGTAAATATAAGATATGAATTTAATTTTTGAGAATTCATCAGGTACATTAACTATAAGGCTTCAGGCCTGCATATTTATCATGAACCGCGTTAATATGCTGGCGTGAAGCGTCATAGTTCATGTCCTCATGAATTCTCAAAAATTGAATTCATCTCTTAAGCAAAACATCCCAGTGCAAACCATCTCTGTGTAAACCAGGACAAGAGTGAAACATTTCCAATTCCCAGGTAGCCCTTTTTTAAACGAATACAGCCTTCAAAAGCAGGCCACAGTTCTTTGGAGATCTGCCACCGATTTTTTTTTAGTTTTTCATCGCTCTGCCTTACCAGTCAACGGCCAACTGAAAAGATAGCTTTTAGTGCATAGAAAAATAAGAAATAATCATAGGAACTCATTTATTCCCTTAAAAATGAAGAGCAAGAATACAAACAAGTATGGTCAAATATGAAAAAATATTTACAAATTACACTTCATCGAATGTATACAAAACACATACTAAATGTTCTTATGAAAAATATGTTGACTACATATTTAATACATTCAAAAATGTATAGTTTTCACTTGATATCATGCAGAAGTAACATCTTTCCCATAATACCCAAATGCCCTTTAACCCTCGCTTGACCTCCCATACAGTACCTGTAACCTACTACCTGTTTACATTATACTACCCAGCCTTTACTAAGGATGTTCTTGGGACCCGTAACTCTTTCAGGACGATTCCAATTTCTCTCTAAATATGGTAAAAATGTATGATCAGTGTTGTGTAATTCATAAACAAGATGATTATTATCTACAAATATTACAAAATTGTCAATCTGCAATACCAGTGCAATTTTCACATCTTGCATATATATACATGTACAACGTATATTTGACTTATTAAAAAAAGATATTAATAACATTACATAAATAATATCATATGTACAGCTTAAGCTGTATAGTTCAGGCACCCTGGATTAACCTTTCAACCCAGAATACCTTATGCAGTAATATCACCTTACCAAATTTGGTAAGTGGTCTGGTGGATGGTGACTTCAGATCTCAGCTTGGATGGGATGTGCAAATCCAAACTGTTCTGTAAAGAAACTTGTAAATCATTAGTAATTGTTTAAACCTTGTCATAAAACGAGTGAAAAAAAAACAATAATCAAAGTTACAAAAAAGTTTCCTCTTCCACTTGAAAGTTCTTGTTGGATCTGTAGTATAGTCAGGGGGTTTTTTTGTTCTCTTTTTTTTTGTCAAAGTTACCAATATTTACAGAAAATTTACTTTGTGGCCCAATTCCAACCAAGCATAACAAAGTGAACAGTGAAATAAACAAAAGTTAAGTAACCATTTTAAAACCTTATTATGCTGTTTGGATTTGAGCCAAGTTTTGATACATTATACCACCATAATTGGGACTGGCCATCCCATGGTAGATTTATGCACTTTTGGGCAAGTTGCTCATTCACACATCACAAGGTTTCACACATTTTCTCCATGTGAGGCAGCAGCACTAGAACATTTAGCACAGAATTCCAGAGACACTTTATCCTGGTGAACATGAAGACAAACTCCAGCTGATACCGACTTTGGTCGCTTATTTGTAGGATAGTCATGATCTCTATCAATAGATTGCCTCTTTCTTGAGAATGAAGAGGAAAGTTCCACGTTTTTCACATTTGGAATGTTCTGAAGTAGGTTTGAGAGAGCACTCTGATTGGCCAGGACACTTCTCAGGTAATCGAGTTCTTCTTCCATCACTTTGTGTGACATCTGAAGTTTGTCACAATTCTCCTTTAATGTCTTGTTCTCTGATTTTAATAGTTCTACATCATCTTCCAAGTTCTTGATGTAAGCCTTCTTCTTTTCACGATTAATTTTGGCCTGGACTGCATTTTTACGATTTCTTTCTTCCATTGCTTCATAAATTTGATCCTGCGTTTCCTTGGGAGAACTATCTGCTGGCGTTTTAATGACTTTAATTACTTTGATTGGTGGCAGTCTCGTGGTGTTCAAATCCTGCCCCCTCTTTCCTACAGTCTTTTGAACCTTCTGTTGGTTTGTGTCATTTTCTGAGAGAGCTTTCACTTTTCCCTTTTTTGAGTTTCGTGTTTCTCTTTTTGGTACTTCAAAAGGAGAAATGGCTTTAACAGTTATTGCCACATTTGGAACATTTTCCTGCTCAGACACAAAATCACACACAGGTGTGGTTAGTTGACGCGATGCTATCGAAACAATATCGACACAATCGTTAGAATTGTCACTGGACAGATATCCAGCGATTTCCTGGTCCAGGGTGTCTGGGAACAGAGACATTTCCTCATTCTTCACAGAAACGTCGCCATCTTCTTCACTGGTCACCGAGTAGCAAGGACTGGTCATTCCACTGTATCCGCTGTCCGATGAATGACTAGGAGAGAGTTCTGTATACTCGTTCTCTTCTGGAATACCCAGGATCACGTCATCAACCAAAATATCACTTTCCATAAAATTATTTAATAAACAATTAACATCGTTACCAGACCCATCCAAATTGAATTCCATTATGCAAGATTTTATTATGAGAATACTCAACAGATTTTAGTTTAATCTTTTAAAATTATTTAAACAACCAATCTGTCAATCGCCCCAAGTTTGTATTACCTATAACACCACCTCTCTCTACTCTTTCTTTCGTCGTTATAATGATGTATTTCACTACGCACTTCTTTTGTACGATACAAAACGTTCCTTCTACGTTTGCCTTGTAAGCATTAAATACAACAAGCTTATTGGTCGGAGAAGTCACGTGTTATAATACCTATTGGTTAATATATTTAAACCGTGACCTCATAGGTGTAGGAAAAGCCGGGGAACAAGAGGCCCATAAGCCACAATGCTCACATGAAACACTTTGGCCCTGTTCTGTATCAGATCCCCCTCCAATACACTACCAGAGGCCGGATGCTTCCACATTAATATGATTCACAAGGTTAGCTTTTAAAAAAAAAGCTGAGAGTCAGCCACTGGAATACATAAAGATTCTTTCTTGTTTTGTGATGGTATATGATTTGTTTTATCCATCATGTTGTGTTCATTAAAAGTCATTGTCGTCTAAGTTAAAATTCGCCCAGTCGTTTTCTTATTTGTAACATAATGCTGTACATAATAAATGATAAAGCATAGAATAATTTTAGTTAGAGTACATCGTGATCTTTATGATGACCTCCAATATTAATTTCTCTTGGGCGCGGACATCAGATACAGGCCCGTAGGAAGCAATTTCAGTTGGGGGGGGCACATTCATACATTTTTCAGTTGGAGGGGCACTATTAACTACCAAAAAAATTCCTTGACAAGCAAAAAAAAATTAATAAATAAAAAAAAAATAAAAAAAAAAAAAAAGGTCATCAGACGTTTTTATTGAGGGGGCACAAACATATAGAAGCTATGTTTTCTGTAGTAGTCTATATATCGGAAAAATTATGGGGGGGGCACGGCCCCCGTGCCCCCCCCCCCCAGTTCCTACGACCATGAGATAAAGTTCGTGTCAGAAATGAACAAAGCCACTATGATCCCAATCATTGAACGTTGAAGAATGTATACATTTTCAATTTTACTGTTAAATTCTTTAAATGATATCGATTATGATGCTTAAAAGGAAGGTAGACCTTGGGTTAGATTGTGTTAATTTTTATTAGATAAAAGTTTTTAATCGTGCAGGTTTGAGGCAATGCATGATAGGGGAAGGGGGAGAGGTGCATACTCTATGTATATTTAATTCAATTTCTAAATTTAAGCATTCATTTTAGTGTTACTAGGAAAGAAAAGAATTGCTTCCAAAATAAAGTAATAAACTGGAAATTCAAAATATTTTATACATACAGTACGTATACCCTAAAATGATACTGGATTCCATCTCGCTTACTCTCTCTAATTGGGGAGGGGGGGGGTGTCTATAAACCCGCGCAGTTTCTCTCAAGTTCTACTGTGGTCAGTTTCTCACCTGTGGGCGCAGTTCACGTGCACAAGCGGCACTTACATGTCTATCATCGTGTAAATTATAAGACTTTACACATCTTAAGTGATCTTCTGACGTTTTCATAACTTTCATCATTAAAGTGAAAAGAAATTCTTTTTTTCACTGTTTTGGGACCTTTTGTGCAAGTGGATTATTGTGTGAATTCCGACCCGTACATGTCTTATGCAAGGTATTGATCGAGGGAGTCTTGCATCAGGCATTCAGAGGAATACACACGAATCCGTGAACTTGCAACGGCGATTGAGGGTATATATATCAAGTGTTAAATTGCTCTGCATATAAACTTCTCATCTTCTATAAGAAGCACTGAAATATTTTCATAGTATCATATTTCCCACTTCGAACAATCTCTTCTTTAATTTTTCGTCGAGAACGACGACGTCTTTGTTTAGAGGGTGTTTGTGAAGAATCACGCCCTTTGGTTGGAGCAAATAGCACGAGTTTCTTTAGAACAAGTCGTGTACATCTTTTTTCCCAGAATTCCAAATTACGCAAGCGCACTTGCAGTTTCATCCCACCGTAACTAGTCAGCCCGCGGGCTGACTAATCATGGCTTTGCTGTTCTTGAGAAGAGGAGTTTAACAGCTTTTCTCACAGGCACTTGTTTCGGTAATATTTTTTTAACCCACAGTAAAATAATAACACAAGGTATCCAGCTTCGATTTACATGGAGTACCCCCCTCCCCACTCATTTACACTTTTAGAGGATGCACTATAGCAAACTGTTTATTACCATTGTCTTCTACGATAATTTATCTACACAACCATATATTGCATGTTTGTCTTTATTTTCTTTTTTCCCCATAAACAGCGTCAAAACAAAACGTAAAATGGTATGTGCTAATCCCGGACAGAGAGCAAAAGTAAAAAAAAATTAGTGGGTTTAAAATTCAATTCCAGTGTTTATATTTTGCAGTAAATAAATAAAATGTGTTTAAGTCTCATTTTCTGTAAAAACACTACGATATTTTTCCGATGTAATTTTAGAGACACTGAGAGTTTTATCCAATCAAAATTTCTGCCCGGGATTAGCACATACCATTTTGTGTAATTCGAGAAGAGTTTTGACGCTATTTACGGAGATAAAAGACAAACATGCCTTATATATGGTTGTGTAGATAAATTAAGCGTAGACGACAATGGTAATAAACAGCTCAGTTTGCCAGTGCATTTCCTCTATAAGTGTAAATGAGTGCGATTCTGGGGAGAGGTACTCCATGTAATTCGGAGCTGGATACCTTGTGTTATTATTATACTATGGGTTAAAAAAATACCGAAACAAGTGCCTGTGGCTTTTTCCTATATACTCCCTAATGTGACCCCACCCTACCCCCAGGGATCATGATCTGAAAATTTACAAACTACAGTATCTCAATATAATTTTAACTAATTTTCATCTTTTCTTATAGTCATTGGTTCTTTGAGTTGAGAAGAAGATTTTCAACGATTTTTCCTTTTTATTTCAATGTAAAACTTTGATTCCCTATTGTGTCCCCATCCTATACCCCCTGAAGTCATGATTTGAACAATTTAGAATTTACACTACATCGGAAAGCTTCCACCTAAGTTTCAATTTTTCTGGCCAAGTGGTTCTTTAGAAAAAGATTTTTTAATGACCCACCCTATTTTTGCCGTTTCTTGATTATCTCCCATTGGAAGAGGGCTTGGTCCTTCATTTTAACAATTTGGAATCCCTTTTACCACCCAAGGATATTTTGTACTACATGTATCTTTCGTTAAAATTGGCCCAGTGGTTCTTCAGAAGTTCAAATGTTAAAAGTTTACAGACGAACGGACGGTGAGAAAGACAGACGGACGGACGCCATACAACGGGTTATCAGCTTTTTCAGCTCAGGTGAGCTAAACAAGAGGCCCAGGGGCCACATCGCTCACCTGATCACTATGGCTAGGAAAAAAGCAGAAATCAGTTCAGTCTTGAAAGGTTAAAAAGTTTAAATATAAAAGTGGTTCGGAGGGGGGGGGGGGGGGTCATGAATTGAACAAATTTGAATGTACACTATCTGAGGATGCTTCCATCTAAATATGACCAATCATGGCTTTGCTGTTCTTGAGTAGAAGATTTTAAAGATTTAACCTATGTATTCCTATGTAAAACTTTGACCCCAGGGGTCATGTTTGAACAAACTTGAATGTACACTATCTAAAAATGCTTCTATATAGATATGACCAATCATGGCTTTGTTGTTCTTAAGAGATAGTTTTTTTTTAAAAAAGATTTTTACTATGTGTTCCTATGTAAAACTTTGATCGCCCATTGTGGCCCCGTCAGACCCGCGGGGGTCATGATTTGAACAAATTTGAATGTACACTATCTGAGGATGCTTCCGTGTAAATATGACCGATCATGGCTTTGCTGTTCTTGAGAAGAAGATTTTTAAAGATTTTCCCTATATATTCCTATGTAAAACTTTGATCGCCCATTGTGGCCCCACCCGACCCCCGGGGATCATGAATTGAACAAACTTGAATCTACACTATCTGAGGATGCTACCATATAAATATGACCAATCATGGCTTTGCTGTTCTTGAGTAGAAGATTTTTAAAGATTTTCCCTATATATTCCTATGTAAAACTTTGATCGCCCATTGTGGCCTCACCCGACCCCAGGGGTCATGATTTGAACAAATTTGAATGTACACTATCTGAGGATGCTTCCAAGTAAATATGACCAATCATGGCTTTGCTGTTCTTGAGAAGAAGATTTTTAAAGATTTTTCCTATATATTCCTATGTAAAACTTTGATCGCCCACTGTGGCCCCACCCGATCCCCGGGGGTCATGATTTGAACAAACTTGAATCTACACTACCTGAGGATGCTTCCACATAAGTTTCATATTTTCAAGCAGAGTGGTTCTTGAGAAGAAGATTTTTTAATGATGCCATTAATTTTTCACTAATTCTTAATTATCTCCCCTTGGAAGAAGGCGTGACCCTTCATTTGAACAAACTTGAATCCCCTTTACCTAAGGATACTTTGTGGCGAGTTTGGTTGAAATTGGCCCAGTGGTTCTGGAGAAGAAGTCGAAAATGTGAAAAGTTTACAGACGGACAGACAGACAGACAGACAGACGGACTACAGACAAAATGTGATCAGAAAAGCTCACTTGAGCCTTCGGTTCAGGTGAGCTAAAAACCATTCAAATTTCTTCATTTCAGATTTAGAAACTTCAAATATGTTGAGTACACAAATTCAGAGAGAGAGAGAGGTTGCTAATCATGTTCATTTGTCATACTGTATATATTTTGTCGACTATAAATAAAATTTACTCGACTTTACTGACAAGTGTATTCTCAAACCTAAGTCGGGATCGTGATACGCTTAATTTTGAAACTTGTACGTTTCCGTTTTCGGTTTCAGTCGTTCATAAAAAAAACTTAATTGTCACTGATTATTGTGTTGTGACTGTTGTGTCCTTCCACTGGGCTTACAAATAGTAAGGTATGATCAGTGAAACGAATTCTGAATGATATTTCGTTGCTGAATGGTAATATTTTGGTACTCACAGAGAAATAATACTGAACCCGAAGAGAAAACAAAAACTAGACCTTTCAACTATTACTTATTTTTCAAGTTGCATCTTTGTCAAAAGACATTTGATAGATAGTTCTAGCTATAATTACTTGAAATTCTAAAGATACATTAGAATCTATACATATACTCAATTAAATCATTAAAAAATTAAATAACCATTAACTGAGTTTTACGATGTTAACAGGTCCAGCACAATCTCTTGATTAAGCTATATAGCTTGAAATAGCTATATAGCTTTATTAAGCTATTCAAAATAGCTTGATAAAGCTATCTATATGCAGGTTTTCACAAAAATTTTATTTGTACAAAATAGACAAAATGTCGCAAGTATTTGACTATTCATACATGTATATGTAATATGGGTTATCAAATCAACAACCCAAATCAAAGATAGTTCTAACATTGCAGCATTTGAATATTTTTAAGCAAAAGATGAATTTCCATTGTTTGGGTAACTGTATACTACCTTGTGTGCATTGAGGCATGGATTAGTATGATTGCTACTCATTGTACTGAATTATTACCAATCAATTATCTTGTTGACAATACTTGGCCTCCTTTATAATTTCATAGAAGAAGTAACTGTATCAATTGCTTTATATAGCCCCAAAACTTTTAGAACTTTGAGTACAAAGTCTCTTAAGGAGATGCAATTTGATGAGTGATTTTTGCATGCATTATTTTCATAAGAGTTCAAGGTTGAATATCATCACTGCACCAAGGTGCGACTTTTTGTGCATACTTGGAAAATAACACATTTGAGAAAAAAGTGTGATAAAATAGCTAAATCAAGCTATTCTGAATAGCTTAATAATGCTATATAGCTAAATAAAGCTATATAGCTTAATCAAGAGATTGTGCCGGACCTGGTTAAGTTCTAAGGAAAGGAAACTGGAGTGTTTTTTACGATTGTATGAGTTATCGTGTATAGGAATGACATGGTATGTGTGTATATAAAAAGATTTTTTTCATTTTTGCTTCAAATACATTCCCATATATGATTCTTATGTATCAAAATGTTTTGCACTAAATTCGTAGCTTAGATTTAAAAAAAAAAAGTCAGCAAGAGCTAAATAGAAACTTAAGGAAAAAACCTACACAATCAAATATAAATTAAATTTTGGGAAAACACATTATATAATGCATCTCATAATTATAATTATTTAAATTGATAGATACCTGCACGTCCACCTCACTCGGCATTTCAGTTGTGATTGCTAAAAATGGGGTACTAAATCAACTTTCTGCAAAATCATCTGATTAGTTGAGAGATATATACCCAAATACACATGTAAATTAGCGAGGTCATAAGAAAGGTCATGTCACAAGTCATTTAGAATACTCGTTTCCTACTGTATCGGAGATACAGGGCGGGGCCCGGCTCGAGCTATCATTCTCGCCTTAAGCCCCGCCCTGTATCTCCGATACAGTAGGAAACTCGTACTCTAAATATAACATAAAGTATTGTATAATGTCAGTGACAAATTAGTTTAACATTTTCTCAAAATAATGAAAAAAAAAAAAAAACAAGTCACCACTGACAGTGAAGGAGTACTTTGGAAACACTAGAAATTGAATTTTAAAAAAATAGTTATCTCACAGCTGCTCTAAACAACTTCTGGTGACTTATCTTCTTTACATTGAACCCTAGTGGCAGTTGAAAGCCTACAAAAACCATACCCTTATAGCTGTTTTAAGTGGTTAAAATAAATTTGAACTTTATCAAGTTGTAAATGATGAGCAGATTTCACTATTGATTTATATGCTAATATCCCCTGCATCACTTTGTGAAAAGGTATAACTTGCTAAGAATGATGATTTAAAAAATTCATAATCAGGGCTAGAAATAACTACTTTTGTTTTAATACTGGTCACTCGGGCTATCGCCTTAAATTTTTAGTGGTCAGCTTAGTACTTTCACTGTCCCACTGGGCCAGTAGATTTTTAAAAGACTGGCCCAAAACCATAATAATAATAATAGTAATATTTTTTATAACAACTTAACGAAACAAGAAACAGTAGAAGTTCGGACATACAACCCTGTGAAGTTAACTAGCCCTACTGTGAAAGAATTTTATTATGCATAAAAAAAATGCTGACCCAAAGGGCACATGCCCTCTGCAATGTACTAGCCCAGATTGAAAATTCACTGGCCCCAGACCAGCGGGCCATCAATTATTCCAAGCCCTGATAACATATTAGGACCATTGCCCAAATTGAATATAGCATCCCAAACGGGATATAAATTTATTAAAAAATTTCCATGAAAATTTATCTTTGAATATTTTAAATCAGCAAGCCGTTTTAAGTTGTTAAAATTATAAAATCATACTTTATCAAGTTGTAAATAATTAGGAGATTTCACTGTTGATTATATGCTAATATTCCCTGCATCAATTTATGAAAGGTATAACTTGCTAAGAATGATGATTAAAAAAATTCACAACAGATTAGAACCATTGCCCAAATTGAATTTAACATCCCAAATGGAATATAAATTAATTAATTTACTAAAAATTTTATCTTTGAATATTTTAAATCAACAATGCAGTCTTCATGAAAACAGCTAGCCCAAGGCAAGTTAAATTTGGCCTGGGATAGATTAATTGCCCCAAAAGTAGCCTGAAAATCTAGTGGAAATTAAAATTATAAATTGTTCTGAAGTATAACAAAATAGACAATGTTAGAGTTTAACCTTCCTTTGTTTATCTTGTCAATATGTAGCTCTCCGAAAAAAAAATTCATTGACAGACCAGAGAGCTACAGTGCCAACCACATAAAAAAACTGTATATTTATTACATACAAAAAGTTGTACTTGGTTTTGGATTTAGTTTTCCAAATCCTTACCTCAACTGCACAAAAGCTCGATATAGAAACAAAAAAAATCCTTAGATCTCTTTCAGCTACTTCTGTAGTTGACATCTGCACAAAGCGTTTTGGTCCGAATTGTCTTGCAATCCAAAATGGCAGTGTAAATAGGCGAAAATTTGCATGTTTTCAGTTTCCAACCCAGGAGGGCTATGGGAAATGTTTGTTGTAGCAATAATAAAAGAAAATGTAAGGAACACACAGTTAGTAATATTTTGAGATATTTGTGAACATTAACAATAAATGTGCTCTTATTTCAATGGATGACACTGCATGTAGCTGTCTGGTCGTCCTTCCCAATTTTTTCAGACTAGCGAGCTACAGATCTGCAGCTATAGTCAATATGATGCTTGTAAATTTGAAACTTTTTAGAACACGGAGATGTTGAAAAAGGTTTTAGCAAGTATGAATACATTCTTGACTATAATCAAAATGAATGCCTTCAGTGTTTTGAATGGAATGCAGGCTTGGTCTAGTAAAATTTCATTGGGTTAGTAGAAATGTCAAATGGCCCTGCTCACTAGTAGAAAAAGAAGTTTTCATGAAGACTGGTTCATATAGAAATACATAAAAAGCATAAAACTTTGGGTGAAAAAGTTTTTCCTATCACTATTGTTCATGACATTGATCCCATAGAAGATCCAAAACTTCTTTTGGATGGAGCTCACAAGCAAAAACTTGTGTTCAATGTACATTTATATGGAGTTACATTATTTAAAGCTAAATAAAATATTTAGCTTTAAATATAGTAACTCCACATAAATATACATTGAACACAACAACTTTTTATTTTTTGATAAATAAATTTGAAATATGCAGGAAGTCTCAGAATACTTTAAATATTCATGTTAGTCATATCAACATTACGAGACAAGTTAATTGTTTGTTTTGTTTTTTAAAAGACTTCTGGATTTATTAAGAAAAATGCCAAGGAAGAGAAAAACTGACATTAACAGTGCTGCATCAAAGTCAGAGGAGGGTAGTGTCCCCTTTAAGAAGTATATGAATGAATCAAGGGAGAAAAGTGAGCCCAGTGGAGAGGATGAGCTCCCCTTATCTCAGGACTCGGTCATGTCTGAAGACGATCTGAACTACGGAAATTGTTTTGATGTTCTAACGTTAGAGGGATTTACAGATGTAGCTGAAGTGTTACAAGGTTTGAATTATGTACAGTAATGATTTACCGTTCTTACAAACTGGAAATGAAAATAAAAATGTATTTTTTAAATATAATTTCATGTTTTTGGCCATAAATTTACCTATGACTGATATCTGCAAAATATTAAGCAAATGTTTTGTTCCATTTTTTAAAAGAATTTTTCATAAAATTTTTCTAAATAGACTATTATTGCCATTTATTTGACATGTTTAAACAAGCTGTACAGAATTCACTCTGAGTCAGATTCCTTAATGGTGTTTTAACGAGGCCCAATCTAGTTTAAAATTACGAAAATGGACCGGCAAATATTTTTGAATTTTAGATAATTATATATTTGTATGTACCATGCTTGGAAAAATTAGGTTGAAATTTTGTTACTTTGCCTTAATTGTAGTGGAATGGGGGAAATTTCAAAATATGAACCATTTTTAATTTGTGGCTTTACACACAATTATATGCTAAAATTACCTTACAAACAATGGAATTGACAAATTAAAAAAAACCTAAATGGTGAAAATTTTTGCTTTTCACACATGCAATATCTACTCCTCATTTAAAAAAAATGAAAAGAATAAAGGGGTAACCTTTATTATAGTGAAAAGAAGGGATATCAAAACACTTAAAATTATATCTAAGATACTTTATAAGTCGCAGTAGGTTTACATAATATCAAAATATGATTGTTGTATTGTACATGTACCGGTATATGTTTCTCAAAATTAAATACCTCTTACATTATGAAAGAATTTGTAATTTGTTAAAGTCAATCTACTGGATGCATATTTAAATTATCAACAAAACTGGCAAATAAACATTTTCAAGGAGAAAGATTACATGCATTTACTTTTGGTTGCAGTATAGTTTTTCAAACTAAAAATTAAAAAAAAATATGAAAAAAACTTATAGTTTACTTATAAATTGAGAATATCTCAAAAATAGATTATGTTACAAAGTTGCTTACCGGTATTAATGAAAAAATTATTTATTAAAACACAAGAATTGGTAGAAATGCCACAATTAGAGAGCTTTCAACATGCACAGTCAAGACCTACCAGGTTTGCAAGAATAGCGAAATAGTTTAGCGCAATTTGACGTTATTTTAACTGTGATGTTACTGTATTCAATTGTGACAGCAATCAAGGGTACTGTGACATGTCTGAAACAACGCTGCGTGAAAACGTTTGTGCAGACCAAATAGTTTGGGCCTTGTTAAATGTAAATTTATTCTTTCACACTTGTATAAAAACCTCAGTATCCCAGGCCAGAAAGAAAAAAAAATGTTTAATACCCTTTCCTGACCCAGGCTTTTCATAATGGGTAGTTAGGAAAATTCAAAAATATTTTATTTTTCATTCATTAAAAGTTTTGACATTTTACCATCACTGTAAAACAATCATCATCATCAGAAAGCAGACCGTAACTTACTAATGATGAAGGGTCATACTATATGGATGGCTGGACACCACTGTCTGAAAATTTTATTGAAAAATAAAACTTTTCATTTCAAACTCTCTGTTTTTTTTTTTTTTTCAAACCAATGGCAACTTTCTTGATCCCAAACTTGTAGTCTGAAACAAACTCCTAAGTTCAAGGTTTTAATTAAATCATGATACCAAATTAATTTTTGCATGGCGAAAGCTGAATTATTTTCTTAATTAAGTCATGATATTGTCAATTTCAGGAGAGGGTGTGACCAGTGAGGTATTGGACATGGTGACTGAAGAACAGCTGGAACGGCTAGGGATCAGGTTTGTTTGATTTTCTGTACATGTACATGTATTTCTTAGGTTTTTTTCTGTTTGAAACACAATGATATTGTTTGAGTAATTAAAGTTCAGTGTTTGCCTAAACCTGTTAACTTGTTAGTTTAATTGATTTAAACTTGCCATGTTTCTGTCACATGATGTTATAGATATAAATATCTGAAATCATATATACAAGGACGTAAAACCAACACCTTATATCTTTAGAGTCATTCATAGGGCTAGGTTTATATATAAAATATGGCTAGGTTTATATATAAATATAGCTAGGATTATATATAAAATACGGCTAGCTTTATATATAAAATAGGGCCAAGTTTGTATATAAGATAGGGCTAGGTTTATATATAAAATAGGGCTAGGTTTTTATTAGCTCACCTGAGCCGAAGGCTCAAGTGAGCTTTTCTGATCACATTTTGTCTGTAGTCCGTCTGTCCGTCTGTCCGTCTGTCTGTCCGTCTGTAAACTTTTCACATTTTCGACTTCTTCTCAAGAACCACTGGGCCAATTTCAACCAAACTTGCCACAAAGTATCCTTGGGTAAAGGGGATTCAAGTTTGTTCAAATGAAGGGCCACGCCCTCTTCCAAGGGGAGATAATTAAGAATTCGTGAAAAATTAATGGCATCATTAAAAAATCTTCTTCTCAAGAACCACTGTGCTTGAAAACATGAAACTTATGTGGAAGCATCCTCAGGTAGTGTAGATTCAAGTTTGTTCAAATCATGACCCCCGGGGGTAGGGTGGGGCCACAATGGGCGATCAAAGTTTTACATAGGAAATATACAGGAAAAATCTTTAAAAATCTTCTTCTCAAGAACAGCAAAGCCATACTTGGTCATATTTATATGGTAGCATCCTCAGATAGTGTACATTCAAGTTTGTTCAAATCATGACCCCCGGGGGTCGGGTGGGGCCACAATGGGCGATCAAAGTTTTACATAGGATTATATAGGAAAAATCTTCAAAAATCTTCTTCTCAAGAACAGCAAAGCCATGATTGGTCATATTTACTTGGAAGCATCCTCAGGTAGTGTAGATTCAAGTTTGTTCAAATCATGACCCCCGGTGGTAGGGTGGGCCACAATGGGCGATCAAAGTTTTACATAGGAATATATAGGAAAAATCTTTAAAAATCTTCTTCTCAAGAACAGCAAAGCCATGATTGCTCATATTTACATGGAAGCATCCTCAGGTAGTGTACATTCAAATTTATTCAACTCATGACCCCCGGGGGTCGGGTGGGGCCACAATGGGCGATCAAAGTTTTACATAGGAACACATAGTAAAAATCTTCTTCTCAAGAACAGCAAAGCCATGATTGGTCATATTTATATGGTAGCATCCTCAGATAGTGTACATTCAAATTTGTTCAAATCATGACCCCCGGGGGTCGGGTGGGGCCACAATGGGCGATCAAAGTTTTACATAGGAACACATAGTAAAAATTCTAAAAAAAAAAAACAATTTGTTAAGAATAGCAAAGCCATGATTGGTCATATTTATATGGTGGCATCCTCAGATAGTGTACATACAAATGTGTTCGAATCATGACCCCCGGGGGTCGGGTGGGGCCACAATGGGCCATCAAAGTTTTACATTGGAACACATAGTAAAAATCTTTAAAAAAAACTATTTGTTAAGAATAGCAAAGCCATGATTGGTCATATTTATATGGAAGCATTCTTAGATAGTGTACATTCAAGTTTGTTCAAACATGACCCCTGTGGGTCGGGTGGGGCCACAATGGGTGATCAAAGTTTTACATAGGAATACATAGGTTAAATCTTTAAAAATCTTCTACTCAAGAACAGCAAAGCCATGATTGGTCATATTTAAATGGAAGCATCCTCAGATAATGTAGATTCAAATTTGTTCAATTCCTGACACCCCCCCCCCCCCCAACCACTTTTATATTTAAACTTTTCAACCTTTCAAGATTGAAGTGATTTCTGCTTTTTCCTAGCCATAGTGCTCAGGTGAGCGATGTGGCCCCTGGGCCTCTTGTATAAAATAGGGCTAGGTTTGTATATAAAATAGGGCTAGGTTTGTATATAAAATAGGGCTAGGTTTGTATATAAAATAGGGCTAGGTTTATATATAAAATAGCCTAATCAAAAGATATTTCATTTAGAGACTTCATCAATCATGCCTTCTATGCATATTTATTGTGAAATTGCAGTCATCATGAATTGTGAATAAAAAATCATATATGAATGCTCTTGATCCAAAAAGTATGTACACGTTAAAATTAAAGAATTTTTTTTTTTTATAAATATATACTTTTGATATTACATGTAAATAATTATTTCATTACAGAGGCTGTGCTCTATTAACAGTCTTAAACAACAACATAAAAAGTGGCCATCATAGAAAAAAAATTCAATGAATGGGAGCAGTGACAAAATTTACAAAGATCAGCAAGAAAATTGCATCTTTTTCACAAAAAGTGTGGTTACCGTGGCCCATTTGATATTTAAGGCTTTGTCTAGTTTTTTTTTTTTTTTTGGTGGCGAGAGAATTTTTTTGGGCCAAATAAAGCCCTTTGTGAACTTTGATCTTACAATACTACATTTTCAGTCCAATGTATCATTTATGTGTTTATGCAGAATGATATGGGTTTTTTTTAAATTAATTAATTTTTTTTAGCCCTTTGGGAAGGAGACTTAAAGCCTTAAAATTACTGAGGGAAATTACTGGAAAACTTTACACTTACAAGGTAACTACTGAGAGAAATTACAGGAAGACTTTACACTTACAAGGTAACCACTGAGAGAAATTACAGGTAACCATTGAGGGAAATTACAGGAAGACTATACACTTACAAGGTAACTACTGAGAGAAATTACAGGAAGACTTTACACTTACAAGGTAACCACTGAGAGAAATTACAGGAAGACTCTACACTTACAAGGTAACTACTGAGAGAAATTACAGGAAGACTTTACACTTACAAGGTAACCACTGAGAGAAATTACAGGAAGACTCTACACTTACAAGGTAACTACTGAGAGAAATTACAGGAAGACTTTACACTTACAAGGTAACCACTGAGAGAAATTACAGGAAGACTTTATACTTACAAGGTAATCACTGAGAGAAATTACAGGAAGACTTTATACTTACAAGGTAACCACTGAGAGAAATTACAGGAAGACTTTATACTTACAAGGTAATGAGGATATTTGTCCAGGCTAAAACTTGTGTACACTCTACAGGTTCAGTGATCAGTGATATATGTGAATTTATCTGTAGAGTAGACTTTGTGATTCATTTGTGAAAAAGACAGGAAAGAATAGGATAATGCATAGCTTGTATTTACTTCTCTTTTTTTCCAGATTGTGAATGATCCAATCCATGGCCATATTGAGATTCACCCTCTGTGTGTGAAAATAATCGACACCCCACAATTTCAGAGACTGCGATTTCTGAGACAACTGGGTGGAAGTTATTTTGTGTATCCTGGAGCATCTCACAACAGATTTGAACATTCCTTGGGGTATGTCTAATTATTACATATTATTTTCATGTGTATGTTCATTTAAAAGGTCTGTTTTGTTTACAATTCATGTTAAACCCAAAATAAATAAAGAATACTTACCATCTTTAATTTTTGTCATCAACAGCTGGATTCTTTGAAAGAATAAGTACATGAAACTATCTGACAGTTTTGTACTAAACATTGTTTCATTTGAGCAATATTTTATTCACAAAAGTGAATGGGATTGGGCAGCAGGCACAGTCTATTCTAGCCCTCTTCCTAGATACAGTGTTTAAGAATTGTGTGTCTCCAGTCAACTGAGTGTAAGTTGTTGTTCTGAATACAATGAAATGCATTGAAGGGGAATGCTAGTTTGTGTTGAACAGAGTGACAAAATTAAGGTTTCACATACTTGTTGACAACTGAAACTTTGTCCACCAGTCACACAAACTGGAAGAAATAGCCAATCAAAAAATCAAACAGTCAATGAATAAATCACAGTACATATAAGTAACAAGACAACCATTGACATAAAGAACTCAACAAAAATGTACAATCCTCTACTGTGGACCTCAGACCCAACCATCATTGCAAACCAGAGGTTGATCTGTTCGTGCTCCCAGCGTTTGATCAATTGTAATCTCAATCAAATATTGAGAGCTTGGAAAGATCTTCTAGAGACAAGCAATTAAAAATATACATTGCTCTGTTACCAACGCTCAGTTGATTGTAGGGCGGAGCTTCAGCTTTCAGCAGGAAGCAAACCAGAAACATCAATTACAGCACTCCAAAGGAAACAAACTAGCATTCCCAGGCTTCAGTGCATTTTATTGTAACAATGTTAAACAGAGTTTAACACTAGAATATATTTTTTGTCCTAGAGTGTGTTATCTGGCAGGAGAGCTGGCGTCCACCCTGAGAAAGCGACAACCAGAACTTGGAATCTCAAACAATGACATCTTATGTGTCCAGATAGCAGGACTCTGTCATGACCTTGGTATGATTAGCATGAGCAATTTAAAAAATATCTTAATCAGTGGCAATTAATGAAAAAATGATGTTAAAAGCAGAAAAATGAACAGTCATTTACTGGTATACTGACAACCTACAAAGTTTGCTGTGATTCTTTAAATGTTTATATACCTGTACATATCTAACTTTTATAGTCAGACACTTGAGACTCAGTAGAAATCGGTACATGTAATGCTAGTTATATGTGCATATTCACTTTATAATTGATTGCGATGTTAATATTAGTAATGGAAATTTGAAATTGTTGAGAAGGATCATTTTTGTTTTTGTAGGACATGGTCCTTTTTCACATATGTTTGATGGAAAGTTTCTGCCAGTGGCTAGGCCAGATAAGAAAATCAAGGTATTTTTAGAGATATATGTATATGAGTAGAGAAAAGTAAAACGTAACCCTACCCCTCCCTAAAAAATAAATTTTCAACATAATGACTGTTTTAGACAGAGAAACTTTCTCTATACAGTCATGTATTAGATATTTGTAGTACAGTAATGACCTTTGTCACTGTAGCATGAAGACCTGTCTGTGAAGATGTTTGATCATCTAGTGGAGAGTAATGATTTGAACTCTGTATTTGAGAAATATGGTGTAACAGAACAAGACAGGACTTTTATTAAGGAGCAGATAGCTGGACCTCTTAAACTCAAGTCTAAGGTATAATTAGTTTGAAATATTTGTTTGTTTTGTTAATGTAGCATGAAAGTGATTATCATTTCATTACAGAGCTGTTTTTGACTTTTAATCAAAGTTTTTTTAATCAGTATTACAAAAAAATGCATGTTATAGAAGTTTGAATACTAGGATTGAAGATCAAATTTTAAAGCTCTCAGTCCTGTGAAAGTTATTTTTTATTTTTTGTCATTTGGGTGCAGCCTTCACTCTGACACATTTTAATAAATGCAGCTCTAGCAGTTTGATTTCATTACAAATGATACTGTCAACTGACTGCCAGAAACTTCCAAAGAACATTTTTCATACCCCACCCCAACTTATATGTAGCTCTGTTAGACAACTATAACAGATTCTGTCTTTGATGATAGATTGTTTGAATGAACTACTCACAGTTTTTATAAGGTCTTCACTATTGCACTACATGTACTACAAAATAAAGTATTCCTTAAAGCAAAAATTAATTAAGCACATCTTCTAAACCTACATTTGTACATCTAATTTTGTTAATATCTGCTCACCTATACAAGAACAAGGGCTCTACAAAGTTGGAAGCCATTACATCTATAACTTTTCAATAATACAAAAAGCCTAAATTAATTTTAACCATGTTATATGAAGCAAGGTCTAAAGATAACTTGCCTAAACATCCAGCAGTAATGGTTTCCAACCATAAAGCCCTTGGAGAGATGAGCAGATAATTAAAATTTACGTTAAAAAATTTGTTTACAAATACAACTGTATCTATGAAATGAAACTTTTCCTAGAAAAAATAACTAGAGATGTGGAAAGTTAGCAAGGTAAGGTATATCTTAAACTTTGGATTTGGCTTTTAGTTATAATACATAAATCACATTTACTCAAAAAGCTTTAAGCTGATTTAAGCACATTTTAATTTTCACTTGGTTACATTTTCATCTTCACATAAGCCATTGGATTTAGGTCTAAGTATTCATTTCATCATGATGCAGAAGATGGGGCTGCATTTAGTTTTGCTTTTTCTGCCTCTATTTTTTATGTTAACTGCATTTGCTGAAAAGCAGATTCTAAAAAAAATCCAGATATGATGTCAGGGCTTTTGATTCTCTATAATTGGGGTCATTGAATGGCCCCATTCCCAATGCAAAAAAGGTACATTTTTTCCCAAAAGCAAAGTGTAAATTTCGTAATTTTCTATAGCAAAATATTTTTTGAAAAAATGTTAATTATGAAATTTAATTGCCAACAAGCGAAAGTGAAACAAACTAGTTCTGTGTTGTCTGTATAAATTAATGCATGTCACCTATATTCGTAAATTGGTTCGGCTTCGATGAGGAACCAGATTTTCCCAATTTTCCCCAAAATGACAAAAATTTTCCCAATTTGAACAGCCCTGGCCCAGTCCCAAAAAGTGATCTGAGAGCCCTGGATGTTGTTTTCCTGTAGATATATATGTAGCAAATACTAGTAAATGAAAACTTTTTGTTTTTTCCCCCTGAATTTTCCTTCTGCTCTGTATATGTATCTTAATTTTTAATAGGCACAGTATATAAAGATGGTAAATTCTGAATATTTCCTATTGTTACAGAAACAAAGTATGGTGTTAATTTTGTTATACAAAATTATTGTTACAAAAGAGAAAAACATATTCATGTATTTAAGGAAAGTTAACAGCAGCTAAATTTTCAAGTTTTTCAAATTGGAGTTCTTTATGGACAAAGTTGAGAATTATGCATCTCTTTTGCTTTCCTGTATAGGGAAATGACATTTTTCTTTTTTATTTTTCTACTAGGAATGGCCATATCATGGAAGAAGTAAGGAAAAGGGATTTTTATATGAGGTATAAATGTTACATAATTATTTTTGATTTAACAACAACAACAACAAAACAAGCATATTAGATTATGAGTTAATGTTTACCATAGAAATGTGTACATGGTATTATAGTATTGCAATATTCTGAAAAGAATTCATAAATCAGACACCCTAAATACAATTTAAAATCAGAAGATCTTTAGAAAACTTATTTGCAAAAAATCATATGTACAGTCAAACCTGTCTTGGCAACCACCTGTATTTAGTGACTTAATCCTGTCATATGTGGCCATTAAATTTCCTCCCTAGAATTTTTCATTGTATTTTAATTTTTAGTGACTCCCTCTCTAATGCGACATGGAACCATCATTTTTTGTCCCAAAGCAGATGAAGACCCTGAATTTAGAGACTTATATCCCTGCTTTTAATAACAAAATTAATGTAGTAAAATGCTTAATTTTTGCACCTTCCCCCCACTTTGCAGAAAGATGTTTGAAAAAATGTACTCATGAATGGAATATCTTACATTGTGTGACTTGGAATCATATAGAAACTTACTGAAATAAGAAACATTTTAAAAGTAACTATAGATAACTTTGAAATAGTTTCGACAAGAATTGTATGAAATATTTATACGTTTATGCATAAAAAAAGTCCTTGCATTTTTCAGTGTTTACCGGTATCTTAGTATTTTGTCTTTCCCTTTCTTGTGAAATCTTGTCACTAGTTATCCTAACTACTGATGTAAATGTGTGAAACATGATAAAAACAAACCTGTTTGGGATTTTCATTCAAAAAAATAAATTTTCACTTAATGCAATTAGGATTTAAAACAATTTTTATAAGCAAATATTTATTGACTGTTATTTATTTAATATCATGAAGAATGAAAATGATTCAAAATTAAGAGGAAAGAAAAGGAACAGGAAAACAAGTACATGTATAACTATTTAGTATTCATACATGTACAGTAAAACACGGTTATAGCCAACACGCTTATAATGAATTCACCCTTACAGTGAAGTGATTTTCATTCCCAATGGTTTTAAAACGTAAAGTCAACGGATATAACGAATTATGTTTATAATGAATCAAAATTCTTCTTCCCTGACAATTTGCTATAAGTGTGTTTTACTGTACTTTGAAAATTTCTAGAATAGGATTTCCTGATTTATGAGACTACCTGTCATATGTGACCATTTAGAATTTCCATAGATAGGTTACTTAATACAGGTTTGACTGTGTGTGTATTTATAGATTTTTGTGATAAAGCAAAATTAATTATGATATACATATAGTATAACTTTTGTTACAGATTGTAGCCAACAAGAGAAATGGAATTGATGTGGATAAGTGGGACTATTTTGCTCGGGATTGTCACATGCTAGGGATCAGGAACAACTTTGACCACATCAGATGTATGAAATATGCACGTGTTTTGAGTGTCAATGGTGAACTACAAATATGTTCTCGAGACAAGGTAAATGTACTTTTATGCTTTAGTAGGTAATATTTTCTGCATTGGTTTTTATGCCCCCGGATCGAAAGATCCTGGGGGTATATTGTTTTTGTCCTGTCTGTCTGTTTGTCTGTCTGTTGTCAACTTTAACCTTGCCCATAACTTTTGATTGGTTGGAGCTATGACTTTCATATGTGTATTCCTTGTGACAAGACCTTTCTTTGGGTACCATCATATTTGACCTTTTGACCTTGACCTTGGAGTTTGACCCACTTTTGCAAAATTTTATGAGACTTTAACCTTGGCCATGACTTCTGCACAGTTGGTGCTTGGGGTTTCAAACTTCACAGGTGTATTCTTTGTGACAAGGCCTTCCTTTGGATACCAACAACTTTGACCTTTTGACCTTGACCTTTGAGTTTGACCTACTTTTGAAAAACTTTAACCCTGGCCATAACTTTTGAATAGTTGGTGCTTGGGGTTTAAAACTTCACATGTGTATTCCTTGTGACAAGACCTTCCTCTGGATATCAACCTCTTAGACCCTTTTACCTTGACCTAGGAGTTTGACCTACTTTTGAAAAACTTTAACCATGGCGATAACTTTTGAACGGTTGGAGCTAGGGTCTTCATACTTCACATATGTAATCCTTGTTACAAGACCTTCCTTTGAATACCAACCTCTTTGACCCTTTGACCTTGACCTAGGAGTTTGACCTACTTTTGAAAAACTTTAACTTTGGCCATAACTTTTGAATGGTTGGTGCTAGGGCTTTCATACTTCTCATATGTAATCCTTGTGACAAGGCCTTCCTTTGGATACCAACCACTTTGACCTTGACCTTAACGTTTTACTCACTTTTAAAAAACTTTAACCTTTGCCATATCTTTTGAACAGTTGCAGCTAGGGCTTTCAAATTTCACAGGTATATTCCTTGAGAGAGAACTTTCTTTGGGTTACCAAATTTTTTTATCTTTTGGCCTGGATTTTGACTTGCATTTGAGAAACTTTAACCTTTGCCATAAGCTGCCATACAGGAGCATCAGTGTTTCACAAACACATCTTGTTGCTAGATTTCCAAAGCCAAAAGTTCATAAAGCTGTTTGTGTCAGACTTAATTTTGATAATGCTGTGTGTAAAAAATCACACAGCTAGTTTCATCTTAGTTTAAGCCATCTCCCTACTCTGACAGGATAATAAATTTGGGAAGGTAGGTAGGGGTTGTTTTTTTTTTATTCAGAAACACTTGCAAATATTAAGTTGAAATAGTTATTAATAGCTGATAAAACTTGGGAATGAACTAGAAAAAAAATTCTGGAGGTTAAAAAAAAGTTTTGAGTTGGGCCTTTTTTAGTCTGTCAGGAGAGGGCAAACAAAGATTTTTTTATAGATGGCTTAGTACAATATTTTAATGCATACTTAGCTATAGGGTAAAGGGGAATGATTTTTTTATCAGTATTAAAAGGCCATATTCACTTTCAGAAAGAGATGCATGTATATATATTTTTATGAAATGTAGTTCAGATCATCTTCTCTGGAGTCGAAATAAGGTTGGTCTAAATTTTAGATATTGATGGAAGTTGCTTTCAGTTATATAGCATTTCAGTTATATAGCAAACACACATACATGTATAATGAATTCAGGGTTACACGGAAGTGATTTTCATTCTCATTGGTTTTTCAACATGCAGTGAACTGAATGGATATAAGGAATCAAAATTGTTGTCCCTGCACTTCACTATAAGCATGTTTTACTGTATTGATATTCAGAATTTTGTGCCAAGGATATAGTATAGAAGAATAATATGTCCTCACTTTTTGAAACAAACAACCCCCTTAAATATAGTGTTAATTTAAACATTTTCAAACCATGACACTGATGAGCTCAGTGTAGAACTATAGTCTGTAGTTCAAAGTTAACAAGGTGAAGAACTGCAAACTATAGTATTGTTCTCCTGCCTACCTCCAAGTCAATTTTCAAAAGTTAACATATTTGAATGATTTTTCATATTTATATACATGTAGATATTTATATGAATTTTCATTACTTATTTGGGAAAACAAAGAGAGATAACTCTATAATTTTGGTAAAACTTGCGTTTTTCACTATAGAAATCAGCGAAAAACGGAAAATATTTTTAAAACGTCTTCCCCCCCCCCCCCCCCCCCCCCCCCAGTGAAACAAAAATTCCTTTTTATAGGTAATATGGATTGTTATTTCACAAATTCATACCAAAGCTTTTTGTGTTTCAAGGGGGGGGGGGGGGGGGGCATATGATTACAGACAAAAAACGACAAAAATGCTATTTTTCCCCAATTTCTTAACTTAAACATTGTATTTTATCAGTTACATATGTTTAAATTCTATACGCGTAAAACATAAGGAAAGATTTAAAGAACATTTATCCGTATCCAAGAATATTTTAAAATATGTTAATGATTTCAAGCCTGATTTCAATGGAAAACATTGTCTACCCCCCTTATAATAGAGCTGGAATTATGAGTAATTAAATATTTAACACTGGTATTAAAATTATTAATCAATTACCATTGAACTTTTCTTTGCATTCAGCATAGATTTTATGGCCAAATTGCCATTAGTATTGAATTAAATGGGTGCAAAATGTAGGCGGGAATCGGGAGTTAGCATACGTAGTTCTTTCCTTTTCTATCTGATTAAAGCATCTAGGACTGTGACCAATGGGTTTCTTATTTATAATTATTAAGATATTGCAAGTAAATACAAATACTCTGTACTTTGATAGTAGTTTTAATACATACGTTTAGAGAATGAGCATTATGGATGGTGTTCAAACTGATGTGTGATTTGTAGGAGGTTGGGAACCTGTATGACATGTTTCATACCAGGAACACTCTCCACAGAAGAGCATACCAACACAGTGTTGGAAACATCATCGAGACCATGTAAGTTTCTTTTTTTTAAATTACATTTTGAAATACTGTAATTATAACCAAATATTTACATTTGCTGTGCTTTTCTACTGAGCCAACTGTGAAATTGATTTGAAAGCCATTTTTGTGTATACTCATGCGTAGAAATATACACGGAGAAACTCGCCGTAAAGTGACGTCACTATGAGTCTAAAGAGACGTTAATAAAAATAGGACGATATAGGGCAGCGAGAAATTCAACATTGAGTATATTTTTGGTGTATTGAAGCATGTAAAATGTAAATATAAGGAATTTTTTAAGCTTAGTGTGAATTATTGGTGTGTAAATCACACAGAATTGTTACAAGTCTGTGTGATTTACACACCAATAACACACACAAAACTTAAAAACATTCCTTAAATATGTTTACAATTTTCAATCTCACAATGGCTTAGTTATGATGTCTCAAAATGGCTTAACTTTGACATCACAACCTATGACACTGCATTACAAAATGACAGGGGCATAAGGAAAATCAAAGACATTGTAATAAACAGAAAATTCAATGTTTTGTAGTTGGATATGGAATTTATTTCACTTGTGAGGAATTCTGTTGAATGTCTAGCATAGATAAATGTATTTCTTATGCCAAGAAATTGTCTTTACTTTGAGCCATGAAATCATGTGGAAATACCAGTACATACTAGTGGGAAAGGAAGAGGGATATTAATATCAACAGTTCTTATTTACATGTATAACGTAATTATCAAAAGGTAAAATTTTTCACATGTGCATGTATTTTAGGATTACAGAAGCAATGTTGAAGGCAGATGACATCATCAAGATTCCTGGCAAGAATGGGTAAACAATCCTTTATCATAATAAACTCACTGAGTATGCAGAAATGGAAATACAAATATAAATGTAGATCTTAATAGCTGATTTTGCAATGATTATTAGTAATGTTTAACTAAGCTTTGTGTATTCAAATGTGATCAAGATGCATTATATAAATGTGTTTCATCTAGTTTCTTAAAATACAAGTAATAATTGAAACGAGGTAAGAAAAACTGAGTGAGGTGAGCCAACATTTACCTATGTGTATTATTGCATGTACAGTACATGAAGGGTAACAATGAAAATGTTCAGCCCAAGTAAACAATTTTAAATTAAGGTGTAGCTGAGGTTAAAATGGTTTTTGAGAGACCTATGTTTTTCGATGAATCAGATTTAACTAATTTTTGTGAAAGTGTAATATTATTTGAGACAACATCTTAGCACGTTAATGTTAAGAAGATCTACATTCTTTATGGATTTTAAGTACTTCTATGGCCTATATTAGTCAGAGATGCATGGAGGATGCTTCTAGTGTGTTTCATTGTACCAGTCAAGGTTTCAGATGCAGCAATTTCAGCTAAAGAATGACCAGGTTAATGTTTTTAGCTCACCTGAGCCGAAGGCTCAAGTGAGCTTTTCTGATCACATTTTGTCTGTAGTCCGTCTGTCTGTCCGTCTGTAAACTTTTCACATTTTCGACTTCTTCTCAAGAACCACTGGGCCAATTTCAACCAAACTTGCCACAAAGTATCCTTGGGTAAAGGGGATTCAAGTTTGTTCAAATGAAGGACCACGCCTTCTTCCAAGGGGAGATAATTAAGAATTCGTGAAAAATTAATGGCATCATTAAAAAATCTTCTTCTCAAGAACCACTGTGCTTGAAAATATGAAACTTATGTGGAAGCATCCTCAGGTAGTGTAGATTCAAGTTTGTTCAAATCATGACCCCCGGGGGTCAGGTGGGGCCACAATGGGCGATCAAAGTTTTAGATAGGAATATATAGGAAAAATCTTTAAAAATCTTCTTCTCAAGAACAGCAAAGCCATGATTGGTCATATTTATATGGTAGCATCCTCAGATAGTGTAGATTAAAGTTTGTTCAAATCATGACCCCCGGGGGTCGGGTGGGGCCACAATGGGTGATCAAAGTTTTACATAGGAATATATAGGAAAAATCTTTAAAAATCTTCCTCTCAAGAACAGCAAAGCCATGATTGGTCATATTTATATGGTAGCATCCTCAGATAGTGTAGATTCAAGTTTGTTCAATTCATGACCCCCGGGGGTCGGGTGGGGCCACAATGGGCGATCAAAGTTTTAGATAGGAATATATAGGAAAAATCATTAAAAATCTTCTTCTCAAGAACAGCAAAGCCATGATTGGTCATATTTACATGGAAGCATCCTCAGATAGTGTAGATTCAAGTTTGTTCAAATCATGACCCCCGGGGGTCGGTTGGGGCCACAATGGGCGATCAAAGTTTTAGATAGGAATATATAGGAAAAATCATTAAAAATCTTCTTCTCATGAACAGCAAAGCCATGATTGGTCATATTTACATGGAAGCATCCTCAGATAGTGTAGATTCAAGTTTGTTCAAATCATGACCCCCAAGGGTTAGGTGGGGCCACAATGGGTGATCAAAGTTTTACATAGGAATATATAGGAAAAATCTTTAAAAATTCTTCTTCTCAAGAACAGCAAAGCCATGATTGGTCATATTTACATGGTAGCATCCTCAGGTAGTGTAGATTCAAGTTTGTTCAAATCATGACCCCCGGGGTTCAGGTGGGGCCACAATGGGCGATCAAAGTTTTAGATAGGAATATATAGGAAAAATCTTTAAAAATTCTTCTTCTCAAGAACAGCAAAGCCATGATTGGTCATATTTACATGGTAGCATCCTCAGGTAGTGTAGATTCAAGTTTGTTCAAATCATGACCCCCGGGGGTCAGGTGGGGCCACAATGGGCGATCAAAGTTTTACATAGGAATATATAGGAAAAATCTTTAAAAATTCTTCTTCTCAAGAACAGCAAAGCCATGATTGGTCATATTTAAATGGAAGCATCCTCAGATAATGTAGATTCAAATTTGTTCAATTCATAACCCCCCTCCCCCCCCCCCCCCCACCCAACCACTTTTATATTTAAACTTTTCAACCTTTCAAGACTGAACTGATTTCTGCTTTACCTAGCCATAGTGCTCAGGTGAGCGATGTGGCCCCTGGGCCTCTTGTTGGAGCAGGTTAAAGTTTTTGGAGCAGGTCTCATTTCCAAGTAACTATAAGCCCTATATTGACCAAACTTGCATGGATGATACATCTAAGGATCTACACTACTGGACTTGCTTCGGATGCTGGATCTGACCTATATTTTCCGGATGAGTAACCAGGTTAAAGTTTTGGAGCAGATCTCATTTCCAAGTAACTGTAAGCCCTTTATTGACTAAACTTGCATGGATGATACATCAAAGGATGCACACTACTGGACTTGCTTCGGATGCTGGATCTGACCTTACTTTTCCGGATGAGTGACCAGGTTAAAGTTTTTGGAGCAGATGTCATTTCCAAGTAACTATAAACCCTATATTGACCAGACTTGCATGGATGATACATCTAGGATGCACACTACTGGACTTGCTTCGGAAGCTGGATCTGACCTACATTTTCCGGATTAGTAACCAGGTTAAAGTTTTTGGAGCAGATCTCATTTCCAAGTAACTATAAGGCCTATCTGAACCAAACTTGCATGGATGATGCATCAAGGGACAAACAATCTCAAAACTTGCTTCGGATGCTGGATTTGACTTACATTTTCTGGATGAGTGACTAGTTTTAAGTTTTCAGATAAGTCTATTCCCAAGTAACTGCAAGCCCTATCAGACCAAAATTGCATAAATGTTGCATCTAGGGATGCACACTCCTAGATTATTAGTTTAGTGTGGGACTTTGCCTTACTTAAAGACAACATTCGTTGAGGTGAGCTCTGTAATCTCTGATTACCTATGTTTATGCCCTGCCAGGAATATGGCTGGGGCATATAATGATTGTCATGTCCCTCTTCAGTCCTTCTGTCCTTCCATCATTCTGTCCATCAGTCACACTTTGCATTTAGCTCAGTTTCAAAGAAACGATTCAAGATATTTTTTTATGCCCCCCCCCTTCGAAGAAGGGAGGGCATATTGCTTTGCTGCTGTCTAGGTCAGTGTGTCTGTTGATCCACCAACAGTTTCCATTCATTTTCTTCACAGAGGTTGCACATACTGAAATGAAATTTGGTATACATATTTATCATAAGAATATCTAGGTCAAGTTCTGTTTTGGGTACGACCAAGCAATTTTTGACAGAGTTGTGCCCCATGGACTTTGGAAAATTCCAATTAATTGCAGTTTTCGTTCATTTTCTTTGCAAAGGTTGCATATACCGAAAAGAAATTTGATATACAGATTTATCAGAAGAATATCTAGGTCAAGTTATGTTTTGAGTACGATCAAGCAATTTTTGACAGAGTTGTGCCCCATGGACTTCGGAAAATTCCAATTGCAGTTTCTGTTCATTTCTTTGCAAAGGTTGCACATACTAAAAAGAAATTTGGAATACAGATTTATCATAATCTAGGTCAAGTTCTGTTTTGTGTGCGATTGAGCAATTTTTGACAGAGTTATGTCCCTTGGACTCTGAAACATTTCAATTAATTGCAGTTTCCATTCATTTTCTTTGCAAAGGCTGCAGATACTGAAATGAAATATGGTATACAGATTTATCATAAGAATATCTAGGTCAAGTTCTTTTTTGGGTACGATCGAGCAATTTTTGACAGAGTTATGCCCCTTGGACTTAAAAAATTCATATGCTGATAATGTTGATGAGAGCTATTCAACTGCATCAACATTTTTTGATCTTGACCTTTACTTTGACCTTGACCTCACTTTTCTTAAAATTATGCTTAGCTCAGTTTCAAAAAAACTATTCAAGATATTATTATCAAACCTTGTATGCTGATACATACTGATGAGAACTATTCAACTTCATCAACCTTTTTTGACCTTGACCTTTACTTCGATCTTGATTTCACTTTTCATAAATTTGTGTTAAGCTGAGTTTCAAAGAAACCATTCAAGATATTAATATTAAACTTCATATGCTGATACATATTAATGAGAACTCTTCAACTGCAATACCTTGATCTTTCCTTTGACCTTATTTTTCTTAAATTAGTATTTATATATTTAAAAATATTTTCAAAGATGGTAGAGTATAGACTGATTTAAATTTTGTTTATTTCAAAAGCAGCATGCCTTATGAATATTGAATTTTGGTTATGTAGAGAGTTGCGGAAAATGTCTGAGTCAGTAGATGATATGGAGGCATACCAGAAACTGGCAGATGATATATTCCAGAAGATTTTGTGGTCTACAGATCCCCTGCTTGAGGAGTCAAGGAAAATTCTGATGAATGTCCAAAAAAGAGAGCTGTACAAGTGTGTTGGACAGACTCGTCCCCCACAAGGGAAAACTCTGGATCAAAAGGTAATCCAGAAAATCTGCCGACCAGGTTACAATTACTGGTATCTGTTTTACATCTTCATATCTGAAAGAATATGCTATTGTCATTTCCAGTCAAAAAGAAAATAAAAGGAGCAAAAAAAATTATTAAATCTGATTTGGACAATTTATAAGTCTGATACATTTTATTTCCTCTGCTTCACTTTATTTCAGATTCTCTTCTGGTATTTAATAGCGATATCTCTCAATCATATAGAGTTGATGGATATATCGTTGTAAAGCAGCCTGAAATACACATTATTTGCTCAGTTTATTCTATCATTCTGTATGCTGGAGGGCTTTCATGCTATGATATTTTCATTTAATCCATTTTTTTTTTGTTTTAAATTCCATGAATGTTATTGTGATATTATGTAAGAGTTTTTCATTAAATTACCCCATTTGAGGTCAAACTTTTCTTGGTACACTGTATAAAATGTCACCTTCATTTGCTTTCCCTTTTCAGTCTGGGCTAGACCAAATTAAAGATGAATTTGTTGACATCTTAAAAAGCATGGACAGTCATCTTCAAAAAGAGGATATTATTATACATGTAAGCTTTAAGAGTGAAGGATTCACAATAGAAAAAAAAATTGTTAAGAGATTTGTAATAGATACAGTACTGTTGATATGGATTGATAAGTAATACATAGTGCTTCGATATCAATAATTTATTAATAAATAGTTCAGAAACATTTATGTATTTAGCATCTTGATCATCAGTAATATGTACATGTACATGTACTTTTTCTTATGGTAAAAAATCGGTATTCATTCTGTGTAACCAATGATACCATTTTAGTTGGTATATCTGGACTACGGCATGAAGGATGAGAATCCAATAGATCATGTTCGCTTTTACAATAAGAAAGATCCCGCAGAGCCAATCCAAGTCAGAAAGAATGAGGTACAAATATTTTAATCTCAGTATTCTATCAACAGGAAATATTTTCTAAAATTGAAATTGGATGAAAATGTATTTAGAAATTTTTTTTTTCCAAATGAATGCTAGGTGTCAGACTTGCTTCCAGAGAGGTTTGCAGAACAGTTGATCAGATTCTACTCTAAGAAGAGAGATGATGAGAGTGTTAAGCAGGCCACTCAGGCATTTAATGTATGGAGTAAAAAACACCAGTGTTCAGTGGTAAGGCTGATTAAGTACAATTGTAGTCACAGAAAGACTTTTGTTTCAAACACTTTTTAACCATTAGGCATGTTGGATTGGTATAATCACTGTGGAAATGTTTATACATATACATGTATTATAGGTACCGGTAGAATATAAGATATTTACAAAGAAAAATATGTTTAGTTCTGGGAAAAAAACAGTGTGCACAATACACACATGATTTACATGATTGAATAATTCCTAGCTCTTTTATTGGCTGAGATCCAACATTGTAGAAATCATATTAAGTTATGTTCACACTGTACAAGATCATTCAGGTGACCATATATTTTTTTAATCTCTGCAATGGACAAAAAATAGAGAAAATTCCAAATTAATAAAATTAGTTATGAAAAGTTATGTTCACCTGCAGTCCTGCACTAGACCTGGCGAACATAACTTTTATATTTTCCTACATTGACCAAACATTTAAATTGATACAATTGGTTATCAAAAGATATTTCACCTGCACCTGACTTCCAGGTAAACATAACATTTATTTTCTTTGAAATATTTATTTATTTTTTTTTTACATCTAACCAAAAACAGATCAAAAATATCCAAATTAAAATAACAATTGGTTATGATATCTTAATTTGCGTCTCTCACTGCAGATGTAAGCAAGAAGGTTTACTTTACAAGTTTGCATCATTATTCATTGAATCATTAAATAAAACATTGCTGTGTTTTTTTCAGTCAATATGATGATTTAGCACCCCTCAAAGTACAATGTTTTCCTCTCTTTTAAGCCTCAGTGAATATTGTACTTCTTGGGTATAGCTACTGTAAATCATTTCATTGAACTTTAAAAAAGCAATAATTGTATAATGTTTAGCAAGGTTTTTTTGGGGGATTTCAGAGAATGTTTAGTGAAGCATTTGCTGAAACTTTTGATTGAGATTCTTTTGTTCATAGACTGTGCTTGTAATTACATGTACGTGATAAAAGACTAAGTAGCATTTAATGAATACATGTAATAGTAAAAATAAATTGTAGGGTGCTAACAATCTATTGCCATACATGACACCAGTAAAGTCTGATTCCACAACACCTGACGGTGCAGATGACGGAACTCCAAGTTCTTCTGGGATTCTAGCCAATCAGAGCACTCCAGGGTCTGCCAGCAAATTCAAGTCTCGCCTCTCTTTCAACTGAGGTTTTTGTATAAAATGCCTTATAACACCTGTCTCACTCCTAGAATTGATTTTTTTTCAAGAGCTCCTTTTAAGATTGATAGGAGAGGTTCTTGACAAATTAAAATTGTTAATGTATTCAACATAATTTAATTCTGCTGAATTTATTATTTTTTTCAATCACATTTTATTTGAACATGCTTTATATTTTAATTGAAACCAAATGCATACTTGAAAATTAGGAGACTCATACAATGAACTTGTAACAGTGATATGTACCTGTGTCTGTAAGGCACACGAGTAGCAATCATTTTACTGAAAATGTAAAATCTAGTTCAGCCATTCTACAAAGGTTGCAGTATATTTTATTTTATTTTAGGTCTATATATGAAAAAGATTTAAATCTTAAGGTTTACTGGTTACTGTGATTTTGTTACTTCCTGGCAAATGAAGTTTCAATGTGTTGTTGTTGTTGGGGGTTTTTTTAGCTTTATTTTATTCCAGCTACACTGCTGAACTTTATCTTTTACCATGATTTTAAAACCAATTTTGTTGTTCAGAAGGATAAAAACTTCTGTAGAATTTTTTTTCTATTGATTTTGAAATCCATTGCATTATTTTGCAACTTAAGAAATCCATCTCTATAGCAGTTCTGTTGAAAGAATTTAACAACTTTTTTATTTTTTAAATGTCTATATTTTTTTATTGAAATATTTAGAAATGACTGTTATCATTCCAAATCATTTTCAACTATTTGATTTTCAAATGATTTGTTAATAATCTAACACCTGTATCAGTTGAATATCCATAGCACATGTTTAAGTTTCACATACACCAAAGCTGTGATGATCATACCCGGTAATATAGTGATATATATGCTGTATTTCATGTGATATGATGTGTCAAATAATTACAGTTGTCTTTAACCAGGTGGAAGACATTTCAGTAGTCATACACATCTTCAGTATAGTGTACAACTTGCAATTGTTAAGTATCAAAGAAAGACTTTGTTTTCTCTATCATAAACATTTGCATGTACATACATGTACCTTTTTTTAAAAAAAAAAAAAAAAAAAGCATGTGTTTTCCCAAATACATCTATATACATGTATTACATCACTGCAGCCAGAGTTATATAGGTTATCAAAAGAATTCCTTCATATCCATAACTGATTACGTATCATCCAAGTTCATATCCAATGTTTTTTTTTTTTTTACAAATTGTGCAATATTCACTGGTGTCTGAACCCTTAAAACTGAGGCCAACATTTTTTTATATCCTGTTTTACGGGAGCGCCGACCCTAATTTGGGCTAAAATGAAATAAAAATAAAAGTCTCTAATTCAAGTTTTATTTTTATTTCTCCCGCCGATAGTTTATTTATAGTCACTGAAAAAATAAAAGAAATATAAATAAGGTTTTCATATATTTTTAAATAGTCATTTTAAAAAGTGACAGGTCAATGTCATATATTAGAAAAAGTATAAATTTCAGATTAACTTTTAATGAAAGATTGAATGAAATAGACGAAACAGTAATCTTGATCAAATGTCATGCAGAGGGCCACGTGGAAATTAACGTTCTGTCAACCGCTTGTTTTGAAAAGTTTTGAGTACGTATTATCTTTGACAGTTGCTTCAATACATTGGAATACGTCTTGACGATTTTTTTAAACTTAATTATAAGACAATAAAGTTTTTTTTCTTACAATTAACGACAGAACAGAACACTGTAGAACTGGTAGAAAGAGGGGTGACTGAGGAAATTCGAGTCACAACTTTCACTCGTTTTAATGACAAATATTGGAATTCAAAATTACCTACGAAAATATATGCTTGATTGATACAAGACATTATTTCCTTTTTTATCATTTTATGGAATTTTGCATGCTATATAACAAATTAATGTACATCAGCTATTAATAACAGCTGATATAGTGTATAATTATGTCTCTTGTTTAGTAAAACAACATTTTTACCACTAGGGAAAAGTATTGTTGTAAATGATACGCCCTTACAAACATTATTTAAATTTAAGACCTGGTTCCTTTTTTTCATTCAAAAGTTGTGGATTAGAACCAGTTTCAACAACTAAAGTTTTGAATTCTGCAGTGAACAGAATATTGTCATGTGTATTTTACATGTGTATACTATGGGAAAGATGTACATATTTTCTACAATTCTGTTGAAAGTTAGCATGCTCAGAAAGAAAATTATATTAAGGATAAAAAGAGAGCAAATATACTACAGATTGAGGAAGTTTGAATATGTTTTCAATAGAGAGATTGGGGTACTTTTTTCCACCTACATACAATTTTAATTTGAATTGCATTGAAAAAAATATTATACAACTTTTCTTTTTTATCATGTATCACATGCAATTCTGTGAATTAATTTATTTTAGCTGATCCACTGAATGTCTCACTGTATTTTTGCCATAACTTTGCCAGAGCTAGTCCAAAATCCTCAGGTCTTGTAACTTGCTGAATACCGAAAAATAAAAGATTCTAAAAAGTTTATGAGGGGTGTGACTAGGGCTGTGTCAATATATCGATTAATCAATACGTATCGAATATTCAGGAATGTATCGTATCGAAAAATAACTTTTAATACGTATCGGGCAGGCAGTTTTTCTTATAATTCTGTGAAAAAGTTGGGAATTTCAGTCACCAAAGGTTATTTTTAACTGTTTTGAATTAAAAATGATCAATAGTGAAATAAACATTAAGGAGATAGCACATCTTAAATAACTATTTAAGAATACATAAACTATATTTTAACATGTTAGTTTTACAATCATTAAAAGTTTGAATTTGAAGTGTACTTCGTAAAGACAGTGAGACATGAACTTCCAATTTGGTAATAAAACACCCAGTTTTGATCAAATCTATGGATGAAAATTAATGATATACAAGACTTTTTGATTGACTTGTTAAAGAATCCAATATATCGCATATCGCTTTATAAAATATTGTATCGTATCGAAATATTTTGCTCAATACACAGCCCTAGGTGTGACATAAGTCCTATAAGTTTTACTGTAGTGACACTATGATACATGTATTTGACGACTGAGAGAAGACTATAGATTTGTATGTTTGATTTTCATTAATGTTAGAAACTGTAAGCTGTTCATACTTGAAATGCACCCCCTGCCCCAAATATCTAAGAGAAAGTTAAATTTAGAATAGTTCATTGATACATTAATGTGACAATTTTGTGTTTTGTATACACAAGTTTTTCATATAACCCTTTTTTCCTAACAAATTAAGGTCATACAAAAAAAATTCCATCCTTAATTAAAAATAAAAATTTCATTTTATTTTTATTTTTCTGACCGACTGCTTAAATTTTAAGCTTTTATTTTTATTTTTATTTCGACCCCCCGCCTCAAATTTTTGGAAAAAATTCCTGTAAAACAGAAAATAAAAAAATGTTGGCCTGATGTAAGGTTTACTTGAACTCTTTGATTTGTATTTGACATCCAAAACATAATTCTGTACTTGTATCTTATTTTAGATATGTTAGCAGAGCATGTTTTACTAGCGTATATGTAATGTAGAACTTATTTTTCTTTTTCTTCATATTTTCTGCCTCTGCCTTCTTACAACTGTCTCTTATCGTGTGCCAACTTTTGTTTTATATTTGCTTGATATAAAGTGCTTTTATTTATTCATTGAGCAGTTTATCTGTATTTTTTACCCTCCTTTGTTTTATTTTAGCAACCTGGTATATTTGTATATTGTTGTTAGCTAAAGCTATTTTTATCTTGGTTTCTTTTTCTGTACTAAGAACTATAATTATACAAGCAAAAAATAAGGAACAGAAATTGTTTGATGCTAGAATAATTCATATGTACAAGTACATGTATTATATTTGCATGTACGTTATTTATTGGAAATAGATTTTTTTACAAGTTAGAACAGGTTTGATTTAGTGCTTTCTGAATATGGTAAGATATAAATACATTGAGCAATGTACTTGATTTATTAGGAATCGCTTTCTCCTAAAGGGGCTTAATAGAATACACAGCCAAATTTTATACGTACACAGTACATGTATTTGCTTATTAGTTGAATATCAGATTCTGTATTAATAAATTGCATTTTTCAGTTTGCTTAGGTAAACTGTATTAGACTGCCATATTTAAAACTCACTTTTTAACTTGTATTATTTTCCATTATATACATTTCTGTTTTACATTGTACATTTACATGTGTATTCTTTAATTCATATTTGTGTGGTACTGTGGGCTTTACTTCCATCTAAATTTGCAAGAATACCATAGGGCAAAAATAAAGTTCTTTTTGGGGATAAAGGGAAGCAAGTCTATTTTGATGTGAAATCCAATGGCAGTATGTTTTGAAAAGTAATTACTGTAAATAACTTTTTATTTGCGAGAACTTTATTTTCATGTAATTACGCGAGACAGTGTGCTCACGAAAATACCATTCTCGCATATATTAGTATTTCTTAAGAATATATAGAGTAGTAACCACAATTTGTAAAAATTTTGTCTCGCTAATAGAGAGTTAAAGTCTACCTCGCAAAAATGAGCTGAAGGCTCAAGTGAGCTTTTCAGATCAAAATTTGTTCATTGTCTGTCGTTGTTGTTGTAAACATTTTACAATTTCATCTTCTTCTCCACAACCACTGGGCCAATTTCAATCAAACTTAATTGGCACAGAGTATCTTTGGGTAAAGGGGATTTAAGTTTGTTCAAAGGAAAGATAATTAAGAAAAAGTAAAAATTGGGTGGGGTCATTTAAATATCTTCTTCTTGAGAACCACTGGGCCTGTAAAGATGAAACTTTTTTGAAAGCTGCCTGACATTGTATAGATCCAAATTTGTTCCAATCATGATCCTATGGGGTAGGGTGGGGCTACATTGGGCAATCAAAGTTTTACATGGGTGTATGCAGGAAAAATTTTGAAAAATCTTCTCAAGAACAACCAAGCCAGGATCAGTCATATTTATATATAAGCATCCATAGGTAGTGTAGATTTTAGTTTTTTTTTCAAATCATGACCCCAGGAAGTAGGGTGCGGCCACTATGGGCGATCAAACTTGGGTATATATAGGAAAAATCTTTGAAAATCTTCTCAAGAATAGGAAATCCATTATTAATCATATTCATATGGAAGGATCCTCAGCTAGTGTAGATTCAAGATTGTTCAAATCATGACCCCTGGGGGTAGGGTGGGGCTACAATAGGGTTCAAAGGTTTCCAGAGAAATACATAGAAATCTTAAAAAAAAAAAAAAAAAAAAAAAAAAAGTCTGATGATGAAGAACAGCAAAGGCATTAGTAGTCATATTTATATGGAAGCATCCTCAGGTAGTGTATATTGTTCAAATAGTGACCCTTAGGGATAGGGTGGCACCCATCGGGCAAAGTTTTACATAATAATAAATAGAAAAAAATCTTTTCAAACATCTCTCTTAGGAACAGCAAAGTCTTGATAAGTCATATTTGTATTGGAGCATCCTAAAATAGTGTAGGTTCAAGTTTGTTCAAATCTTGAACCCCAAGGGTAGTGTGGGGATACAATGGGTGATCAATTTTTACAAA